AGAAAAAGTGATGGTGTGAGTGTGTATATATATTGCATCACAATATTTTGTTCTTGGTCCCCAGGTTGGCTCATTTCTGGCCTGCTTTGGTTTTTGCTTTGTACCTGTGTGGAAACTCAGTGACCATATTCGTGTTAGTTATCTTCTTATATAAATCTCATCCATGGTAAGGTGCACGAGAAGAGCAATCTGTGCAAAGACAAATGTGGGAAGCTTTTACACTGCTGCAGAAAGAAAAGCCTCCCTGCGCCCCTGCAACAGAATGTCACCGCCACCCCTACAGGGGAATATGTTCATCATCCTATCCTCGCATAGGCGTTTTAGTGGAAGAGTGAATCATTATCCACGCCGGGGCACAACAGATTCGTCTCTTCCTCTGACTGCTGCTAATGCAACCAGGAGGACTCTTGCACCGATGACACAGATCATGCCGAAGATTACGCCTGATTCCATCACAACCCACTCAATCCTCTAACACCGAAATTCCATCAAGTAGCGTCCTTCAGATGTAACGGATCTTCCTGTCAAAGATGTCCAGGTGAGGCTGGAAAAGTCAAAATGGCATTTAGATGCCGCGTGCCTCAGATCACGGTCCCATCGTCTGTAATGATGTTCAGCGCAGTAGAAGAGAAAGTAGCCATAGAATTGAAGTACACTCAGCAAGCTTGGAGTTCGCTGTATCCACCATTCAATATGCTTAGCCATGCGACTGGTGCGTAATGAGATATGCATAGAATAGGCACAAATAATTGCAGTAAAAAGCTCATCATGTATCGGTATCAATTATGACTTTTATTTCCAAAATTGATAACCTATTACATACGGAAAAGATGACTTGATATTTTCCCAAATGAAAGAATCATACTTGTTAGATGTATCTGTCCACATGAAACAGCATAACGGATTGCTTTACAAAATTAGTTAATGCCAATCCGAAACTGGAGGACGAGGATTTACAATTTGGTCTCATTTAAGATCTGTTGCAATTCCAATTTCAGGGACTCCCAGCAAAACTTCCTCGTGCTCCTTTTGTTTTCATTTTTCCAGTCATATTGGAGAGTGAAGTGTTAAACGATTGGTACGGTATTCATGAAGAGTAAAGAAGACAAATCTTCAGAAAATTGCCTTTCAATTCAACAACCCATTATTGCTGTTACTTTGTAATACTTGATTAATTATAACCTAGCCCCCTAAACTTTCGTCGTCTACACGTTAGCAATGAAAGATCATGACTATCTTGACAACGTAGACAAAGGTTATCATTCGCATTCATCATTTATGAGGCTAGTGTGTTCTAATTTCTAGGGTCACGTAACAAGCTTAACCTAGAATAGATTATGTTGAACATCATTGCGAAACAAACATTGCAAATCTCTGAACATAGTAACAGCATTGCAGCAAACATTCTGAAAGACAATCAAGTGTACAAGCATTGTACCACATTGAGATACGCCCTAAGTGGTTCTAATTTTGTTATTGAGATCTTCCAGTTCAAAACTTATTTTTCAAAGAGCTCATATTCATTTCACCTCCGAAATTCATATTCTCTTTCAATCGATGCATAATCTATGTGTTCAACTAGTTTTTCCCCTCAGCTACAATTACTAAAACATAGTGTCTCGAAAAGTTGGAAAGTGTACGACGCTACTAGCTAAGCAATGAATATAAAAAAGTACACATTCTTATGTTTTTTTCCCACCAAGCATCAGATCTGATATTGACGCGAGATATTCTTTGAGACATGCCAAGACATCGCCATCACCTCAGATGATGATTATGGAATTGTCCAAGAGATGTTTAGTGACATGGGATGTAATCGAACCTTTGGAGAGAAGTCAGAGCGTTGATGAGCCACGTAGGCCACGAAAAGTCTCCGGACGAGCACTGACGATCTAGCGACGAACAGAGATTCTTACCGTATCTAGAACGTTGCATGATTTATGATCACTTTCGGCGCTAATCTTCGTAAAATGTTCATAGCATGTCGAGCCCGAGCCTCGAGGAGGTGGCAGCTCAAGTAGGCGGGCAGGAAGCAGAGCAGGACGAGGAGGACGAGTCCAAAGGATGTTCAGATAGGACGGCGGTGAATGGCGATGGCAAGAACCGGGAGCCGGGAGTCGGACCTCGGGAACTGCATCTGCCAGGGCAGAGATTCGATGAGCATGTGCCAGGAGACGCTTTTCTCACAGCACATGCAATACTTCAGCGCGCAGTCAATCATCCTTTCCAGGCTCATGCAGAAGCTGCGTGGTTCCAGCGACGACAAGCTCTGGCGCGATGTTATTATCCGCACCTGGCGTGGCCTCGGCCTCGGTCGAGCCAAGGAACTGCGTTGCGGGTCCAACGAACGAAACAATGCAAGCAAGCACGTTTCTCTGTCCTAGCGATGGTTACACTGTCATTATAATTCTATCGGAAGTCGTCAGTCCGCGATTGATTGGTATAGTAAGTCAAGCTCGCTACGATCTCACAAATCAGCCACAACACAGATTTCGTCGTCGAAGGATGGATGGCGTCTGGTGGCCATCTTTCGTGCTAGATAGATGTTTTGCTTGCAGTGGTGACGCTATGATGAAGATGGAGGTGATTCCCATTGAGCTGCAAGCAAGATCAGATTATATGCATAATCGTGATTTCATGACCAGTCTGTCGCATTTGCATGAGAAAAAGAATTAAGAGCTGGAAACTTGTTAACAGCAAAGGAGGAGTCGAAAGTTGAGCACTGGGCCGTGCAACCGCGAACGAAAGAGCATGACTGTGACACTACGATTTGAAGGGTGTGTACGGGGCTTGATGTTCTGGCGGCGTGTGGATTTACCGACCGTGTTCATTCGGACAGATTGACGAGGAATGCTCCTCGTGTCGCACGCTGTCGATCACGGTTGGTGCGCAATTGCACTGCCATCATACGACGCCATAAGAAGCCTCGGACCCTCGGACCTTCGCTCGGCTCACGCTAATGGTCGACCGCGTTGCATCCGGATGTCATCGGCCGAGGTAAGGAAAATGATTGCTGCGCCAAAAGTGGTCGGACTCCTCATGCTCTCTCGGAAAGTATCGAAGATATGATTCCTGGCCCGAAGTAGGTCATAAGTCCTTGGGAGGGGTAGGAATCAACGGTACGACTGCTGCTGCTGCTGCTCCCGGTAGTTTTCTCGTATTATTACACGACGAGGAGCCTGAAGCCCTCGACCGTCCATCCCACCGTACACGTGTCTCAGATCGATGGATGGGCCACACTGGGGCCGAGGCATCGGAAGCATCGACGGCGAAGGGGTCCCTGGCACCGCTCCGATGCACATCGGCCATTATCCGCTGCTACCTGCTGCTGCAGAGCATGTAGTGTACAGCCTTCAACGGGCGTCAAGGCCCCCTTACGGCTCACACACAAAGAGTGACCATTTGAGTGAGCGAGTGAAGCGAGCGAGATCCATCCTGTCGTGCGAGGATTAATGTTTTACTCTCAACACACGATCGCGTTTGCAATTTGGAGAGGTGAGAAGTGCTCTGAACGATTCCCGCCGGGGCGAATGGGGTCTCACTTCATGAATGGAGTCTCACTTCATGAGTCCATGAGTGAGATAGTCCATGCACGCGTTGACTTCTGGCGGTGTGTGAATTGAGACGCTGCAGAGGAGTGCACTGAACCAAAGCTGGGCGACTCTCTCAGAGTCTCGTCTTCTGAAATTTAAGTTTCTGATTTAATTGCGGACCAATATTTCGGTTCGCTGATTCGAGCGCGCAGGCAGGATTCAGCTGAAATGAGCCCCGGGGCGATGAGTGACACGTCGTGAGGAGTACTAAGGACTCGATTGTTCAGAGGTTTCGTTGGTCTCGTTCTCAAGGTGTTATGATGCGGCACTCATAGAAACGCTTTTCCTCTCCATCTGAAAAACTCGATACGTTACGTGAATCCGGATTCGGCACAGCCTCGTGAGAATGCGTGAGCGGCTCGAGCACACGTTGTTCTCGTGACATTGTCGTGAGCGCAAAAGGTTTAATCATTCCACCTCTGCGTTACGACGGGACGGGGTATAACGCCCATTGAGGTGGTGGAAAACCAACTATGCGGCGAGATGCATTGCATTCGTCTTCACGATTTCCTCTCGGCCAAAGCGCAATTCAGAAAGTGATGCTCACTACTCATCAAAACCAAACAAGCCTCTTCTGTACTCCACAGGGAACATGATGGATTCTTAGAGGGTAGATAGATTCTTAGACCGCAAGACGAGACCATGTGAAAGTTGGACCGTAGTCCGGATTCTCTCGTTGGAACTGTGGAGGTGAGACTCGGGTTTCTGAAGGCCTTCAACGTGACCAGGGCCTGATGTAATCTCTCATGTTACATTCTGACCTTGAAAAACTCCACGAGAAATGGTTGAATGAAACTTTCACACGAGTTTCTCAATGGCAGAATGTAACTTGACAGATTACACCAGGCCCTGCTCAACTCTTGGATGCCCAACTCCAAAACTCATGGTTCAATTCAACAATTTCAACCCTTGATAGTGGGAACGTCATGGTGTTCACTGATGAGCTCTGGGTTCGCAACTTGCGTGGACAGCTGTCGTTGTTAGGTTCTGCTCCTCTGTACTCGACCAGTCTCGATGATCAGTAGAATTCATTACGAACACGCCAGTTCTTATCTAGCTAGCTGCTCTTACCATAATTTCTGCTGTATCAAGAGAGTAGCATCATAAGACATTGGCTATCTCACAGCGATTTGCTCGAAGCTCAATTCTTTGTGTTCTGTGATTACTGGAGCAACGATCCTCTCTTTGAAGATAGGCGAGGTGGTCACTTTTTATGATAGATGACAGCCGAGAGCTTCAGTGTATAACAGTTGGTCGGAAACACTTGAGGGTGGATGAGTCTGTGAGGACACACGAGCGGAACGATGATAATTTCGTAGGCAAAGCACAAGAGGGATGAGGGGAGAGATATTGACGTGTATAATACTACTGAAGATACCATGACCAGACCCCAGTCCAAACATTTACCATATCTGAAGGCAATTTACTTTTAGATCAGTACAGAGGAAAGAATAGCATGGCATGGCATCCTCGGAGCTCGCAAGTTCTCATCATTGCAGAGACCGTTTGTCTAGGGGTGCAGGGAGGGCGTCACTACTTAGAAGGCTATGCTGCTGGACAATGTTGTCGATGGCTGTGCGACCAGAGGACGAGGATGTGGCCAGATACAAAGAGCTCCCAGTTTTCCGAGCCGTCACGATCGAATGTCGTGTGGCTGTCCAACGAAGTCTACATTCCACAAGACGAAGAATGTCTTTCTCCAAAATATGGAGCCACAGTTCTCCATCCCTCCTTCCCACCCTCCCTCCCTCCCTCTCTCTCGAGCAGGCTATGGGGACCTAAGGGAAAACGACCGAGCTTCCTTCACTTGGACACTCATTGCTCGCGGTCGATAAGATGTCCATGATTTGTCGGTACTTGCCTCCACCTCCTCTTCCTGATACTGACTGATCAAAGGACCATCATTCGAGTGCAAACGCGCAAACTTCGCGTACCAGTCATGACATGAATGAAGCCGGAGCAGATTTAGAACCAGATTGCTTGGACCCCTTCACTATCTTTGAACATTTGCTCACTGTACGTCAACGGATGAATTTAACTGTCCCTGCGGATCTGTGATCATAGACCTCTTGATAAGACCTGTGAGAGACCTTAGCGTGGCATGGCGTCTTCATGGTCGTGGCTTCGATGGGACGTCCTTGACGGCGCTAGCAACAACACTTTGCAGTCTTCTGGCTCCGTATACCTTTCCAGTTGAAGTCGTCGAGTTAAGAGAAAAGTTTTCCTGTTCGGTCTCGAGATCACCCTCCTTCAGATCCCAAGCACCAACCTGCGACACTTGTTTCCTGTAAATGTCCAGCACTTGACTCTCCCTACCTGCGCGATTGGGAAAATTCGGTCCTCCGCCAGTTCGGATGGCGCGTTGCTGCTCGGCAATACTCTTCGCAACGAAAACATTGCGCGGGCTCATGGAAGATGGTCTTTGACTTTGCTGAGTCTCTGCTGCTACTTCTGATTGACTGATCGGCTTCAGCCATTTCTTTATAGATGCTACCGTGATTCGAAGTTTACCAGAGCTCTCGTGTCCTTGATAGTGCAGCTTCAGTCTCCTCAGAAGTGCCGCCATAGCTTGACCACTCCTGCACGACACCACATCACAGCAGCACTCTTGCCTCAACAGATGTTTCGCTCTGACGATCTAATAACAATCCTATTCCTCTGAACAGCATGCTATATCTGCGAGAACCTCATGTCTCCGCAGCAAAAAGCCTTAAAACACACTGCTCAATTTGCCAGTCGTGCCAGGCACCGCCCTCACTCTAATTAAAGCAAGACACTGAGTGCAGCGAGAGGCTCGCTATCCTCTTCCATGACGAGCTTCATTTTCTCCACACTGCTATAGAAAAACGAGGTCTAGTAAATATGCGATTTCTAGTACTGAGGAGACTATGATTGACAGTGGGTTCACGGTGAAAGGCATTCATCACCAACCACGTTAACTATGCATACCTGCCACTTATATGGAGTTCCTTGACTTCCCTCGTCGCGGTAAGAGTGCGCTTGATTTCAACGAAGTGATTGATGGTTACGGGATACAGCTGGGCACCTGAGACATGCAATATGGAAGTGATCACAATAAGAATGTGAACTTGACATGCAGCTTGTACATGATGTGGACTGCAGGCCAAAAGGTTTTCCTTTTCTCCGGGTACACGGTCCAAGAGGCAGGGTTAAACAGCTGAAGAGAGATTGATCTGAGAGGTACCAATCTCGTTGAAGAATTAGGGTGCAAACTAATGATCCTCGACTTCAAACTTTAAAAAAATATTACTCGGCCATCGAGGAGAATACACTTCGACACTGACCCCAGGAGAAATAGCCAACAAGTCAGCGCCAGTAAATGCTGCAGAACATCCACCACTACGCAGCCGAGTGTGCTATTCTGTGCTCATAAGAAGGAGGTGAGAAATGAGGATCCACACTTACCGGCGTAATGCCTCTTCTTCAATCCCTTCAGCAACGTGATCAGAGAAACCTGCGGCACGTTTCATAAAGACCTTCACTATCCCGACGTTTTTATGAAGTTGACAGACAAGCACCGTCTAAGATATCATATTTTCTTTCCGGCAATTAAGCAAATATAGACAATATGCAAATTCAGAACATGGGGGCTCTCCACTCCAGATATGTTCAGGTCTCTACAATGCTCGAAGAAGTGAACATACGTACCTCAGCGACATAGCTCGGCAACGTTTCTGCGCTCAAAGTAATGGGCCCAGCGGTGTAGTTGAAGCGTGGGACGATACCCATTGTAGCGGCTTCCTGCAAGACACTCGTCCTAAGTACGTCGATCGCAATGTCCAAACTTCGAATGTAAAGGACCATTACGTAAAGCTAGACCAGTGCCGAACTGGACAGAAAAAATGTCTGCTGCAAGTGCTCAAATCCGAGGTTGCAGGACTTGAAAATGTACCTCAAAAATAGCGAGCGCTTTAGGATCATAAAGACTTCCTGAGTCGAGAATAGATAAAGGCTGATTCTCCGGGATTTCATGATGAGCAAACAGACTGTCTTCCAACGCAGTTCTTCTTTCTGGTGTTTCGTGTTTACGTAAACAACCCATAAGTAGAGACACTGACTTTATCGTCGGTGTGTATCCTGCGGCCACAGTCTGTCTATACGCAGATAGAGCCCAGCTTGTCCTGCAAGCACATGAAAGCCTCGAGTCAACTCTAAGGATTCCGGCCCAAGCTAAGCGAAAAAAGTTCATTGACATATCCCCAAAGGTTTGACAGCTAACACGCTCTATCACAGGTGACATGTAATACACAAAATTGCTACATGACGGTCTCACGTAGTTTTTACGTCCAAGCAAAGGCATCGTACCATTGTTTGTGGGGCTCTTCCATGCTCGATCCGGCCAATACGCCTCTGGTTTCCAAGTATCCAGGTGCAGGTAACCTTTGTCGTATTCTTGCGTAGCACATACCTGCGACATTAAAGTACGAATTAGCTCACTATCTGTGACCTCGCAAAGCAAAGCAAGTCAAAAAGCATGCACATTACTCAGTTGACTTCACATCGGGTAACGAAAAATGAGACCTCAGAAATGGTTTTAGAGTTCACAACGTACCAATAACACTGTCACAGATTGACTGATTGGGAACGAGACCCTCTCCCCTGGCCTTGGCGTAGAGTTGGAAACCAATGTCCGGCTCATCCAGCCTGCAAACCACAGTCGACGTTAGAGATTATTAGATTTCTCTAGTCAGCTTTTAAGTTACAGCAGAGTATTCATCCCAGAATTACTACAAGTGCTAGCGACATCCTCTGTGCTACAGTCCAGAATATTGGAGCTCGTGTATAAGAGAGACACTCACGTTTCACATGCCGCTAGCAGAATACTGTAAGTAATTTGGTCGGGCATTACTCCAACTCCTTTCATCTCTTCCAGAACGGAGAAAGCTGGATTTATTTGCTTTGCGTTGCCTTCACAGTTAGACACAAGCAAATAAATAAGGAACCACGGCAGGAGACCAAAGGAAAACCAAGAAAAGAGCTAAGCGAAAACTAGATTGTACTGGCAAGATATAGAGGAAATAATGAGAAATGACCAGGTAATTGTTATGATTTCGAAGACGATCAAAATCAGAAGAAAATCGTTGCCAAATCACTCTAATCTCATGGTAGGAGATCAAGAACAAGATGCCATACTCAGAGCAGTGATGAGAGCATTGAAGGTTGAAACGGTAGGCACCAGCCCCGATTCCTTGATCTCATGGTAAAGGTTCAAGGCTCGCTCCCAGTTCCCAGTCTGCAATATGCAAAGATATTATTCGCATAAAATTGTGTAACAGCGAGAAGAGACCTCAAAATTCGGTATTAACAGTCCTGAACTCCTGAGATCCTGAAAATCCAAGGCATTTGTTCGAAGACGCAGTGTTGATCTTGAGATCCCAAGGATATCCCAGACAACAATCAGACGTCTTCATGAACTTTGAGGACTTCGTGATTAACGAGATTAAGCATGCTCAATTGACGCTGAAAACATTCCTGCACTCTGTTCATGCCGTACACAAGTCACAATACTCTACGAAACAGAGGCAGAAGTTGGTGCCATGTTCTACAGCAAACTGCAAGCTAAGAACAGCTCCATAATATAACCATGGTATGCATGGATAGACTTACATTGCTGCAAACCCCCATGACGGCACTGTAAGTGATGGATTTCGGAGTCAATCCAAATTCCTTCATTTCGTCCAGAATTTTGAAGGCACCCTCCAAATCGGTGGCCTGCCCAGCGACGTCTACCAGTGCGCTGAAGAATATCTGCGCAAGTTCAAAAACGGGCTTAGAATATGCTGAAACATCTCAACGATCAACTAAGACTCGTTGCAAATTCATAAAGGCAGACGTCACGATGCTCCTACAGAGTGCATCACATAGCGTACCTCGTCCGGCTGCATTCCATCAACCTTCATGTCCTCAAGAACAGTATGGGCGAGATCCAAATCTCCAGTTTGACTGCAGGCGTGTACTGCAGCAGTGTAGCACTCTAAGGTGCCCTTAGTACCACTTTTGCGCATACTTCTGTATACCTCGAAAGCACGTTCTACCTGCAGGCGATATGTATGTTTCTCCCTCAGAATGGCCATGCTTCATGGTGCCGCTAAATGAAGAAGGATGAACGAAACCCAGATTTCACAACCTTAATCTAGAAAGTCGTACTACGTTGTCAACAGATGGAAGTGGTCCGGTGGATTCTTACGAAACCCCCTTGTATCATACCTGGCCAGCTTTGGCGCATGCCATTATCAATGCACCGTAAGTCACGTGATTTGGTTTCAGAAAGCAGGGTTCTCCTTTCATGTCGGCCAGTACATCGAAAGCTCGTTCTAAAGCGCCAGCACGACCGCACGCGTTGATGAGGGTGTTGAATATGGCAATATCTGGCTTCACTTGCTGAAACGCATAACAGTTCAAGAGGGTCATCTTCAGAACCGAGAGTGAAAACTATCAAGCCCTGATAGAGGACGATCTGGAGCTTACAAATACGTTAATGATGCATAATACATCAGACGAAGATTCTCAGATAGACACAACGAAAGTCTTGCTGTCTTACCTTGGAAAGCATGATACCATAAACACCAAAAGCCTTGGCAATTTGACCAGCACGAGCACATCCGTCGATCAAAGAACCGTATGTCTGAATATTTGGCACAACTCCAGCGGCTTCCATGTCATGGTATACCTGCGCCAACAAAACTTACTTCAACGAAACATCGGTAGCAGACGGGCAACAATTTGGTGACAGACTCTGTTCGCTGATGAGATGCGGAAGGATGGAACTGACACTGCTGCGGGGCTCATACCTTGAAGGCAATATCGACTTTCGCTGCCTTGGCGCACGTTGATATTAATGTGGTGTACAAGATCGCGTCCGGCTTGAAGCCCGATTTCTCGGCTGCAGAGAGCGCCCGTAAACCAGCTGCAAGAAAGTCATTTAAAATAACACGAGATCAACAGGCAGGTTTTTACAAAATGCATCATTTCTTTCGTTCACATTCAATACATAATGTACCGTCAGCACTGCTCAGAAAAAAGTTTTAGAATTTCCGGGTTTTGACGAATTCAGGCAGCAAAACCCAAACATGAAGTATATGATGGTGCTGCTCTACCTGTTGATCAAGTGGGTACGCAGATAGCCTTAACAACCACCTCATGAAGGCTAAAGGACCACATTACATCCACACCTATCTCAGAATCATATAAACTTGACAACTCATGAAAGCTTTCAGAAATTGAGGAGCCACAAGAGTCCTCACCATCCACATCTCGTGCCTCACGACAGACTGAGATCAGCATGTTGTAAGTATTGAGTGTCGGCCTACTTATAAGCCGCGTGAATCTAAATGCTTCTTTCACTGCCTTTTGCGACTGACAAGTCTTGAAAAACCTCGATTGGTGAATCTGCGTGACAAAGGTACATCAGACAACAATGGAGGTTAATTAGAACTCTCAATTAGAACTTCGGACAACTGAAAACATGGTACGAATATTTCCTAGTATACCTGAGCAGAGCTTCCAACAATCATTGTCTCCAACACTACTCACCTTACTGGTATCCAGGATGTTGACTTTGTCCATAGCTTCCAGCAGGAGAACACTATCTTGAATCCTGTAGACATCGAGCACAAACAGCGGGGATCGGCATAAGTTTGTGAGGTACACCTCGATAATCTCAAATCGTTCGAAATGAACATCCAGCAGAAAACACATTGATGCCATTGTAATACAAGGTGGACTGTTGAAGTCAGATTACACATCACATTCCAATGAGGCAACACTCGGCTGGACATTTGTGAAGAGAGAGAGACAAATGAAGTTCTTCCACACTAACCTTCCAGAGCTGATCAGAGCTCGATAAATTTTGAGGTGTAACTCGGCATCTGCAGTCTCTTCAATTGGGAGAATGTCCGAAAGTCTCGTTGGCAGCTTCCGGCCAGTGGTTTTATTGGCCACTTTCTGGTTCAGACTCGAACCTTTGGACTTATCAGAAGTGACTGGAGATGACACCTTCGGTACAATATGCAATCTTCGAGAGTTCCCATTTCCCTGAGCAGCTCTCGGTTCTACGTCCTTGACTGAACTAATACCAGGAGAAGCCTCAGGTATTTGTTCCGTCAAGACTGTAGTCTCCGGTTGAAGAGTAGACGCTGAATTGACTTCTGAGACAATTGAAGCCAGAGCGTCGGCCTCCTCAATTACCGTGACAGCATCCTCAGGCGCTGAAGCTTCTTCACTTGCAACGCTCTCATCGCCTGATTCAATAAGTCTCGAAGCTAAATCACTCGAGTCCACGACACTCAGTCTTTCCTCCAGAGATTCAACAATATTCACATCGCAGTCCAGCTGAAGTTCCAATACCGCCGCAGGACTGTCCACCATTTCTCCTTTCAGGCTGGAAAAAGTCCCGTTAATTTCCACGGCAGGACTGCTAACTACGCCAGAATCTGCCTCAACGACACTGGTGATGAGACTCTGCTGGGGGCTACTTTCCACGACAGGTGCATCTGTTTCTTCTGACTCTTGAACCACCTCTAAGTGATCTGTAATGTGTACATGATCATCGCTTGTTGACTCCGAAGTCGATGCAAGGAATCCTGACATGTAGCGATGTTCATGTTGCTCCTGGATTTCCAGCACGTGGTCTGGGAGCACCGAAGCCTGCACCGACAGAGAAGAAGACGATCAGATAGGACACAAACATTTCCCATCACCAGAGTTGTGATGCTGGAGCAGTCCATTCGAGCAGAAACAACTGATGACAGGACCCACCAATGAAGTAAACGCCAATTACTCCTTATCACGCGGTTTAAATAATTTTAAGAAAGCTGGAGTGTGAATTGCTCCACAGAATGACGCAGCTCACAGAGCATGGCATCGCTCGCACGAGCGCAAACACAAACACACATAGAGGAGTTCCCACAGGAAGACGGATTACTCTCACAATCACTGCAGCGGCAGCTCAGGCACGATGCTGTCCACATGCCACTGACTCTGGACGGAAAGGACGAATGTGCTGAAAAGAAACTAGATACTAGACCAGATAAGTGTACCTCTGCGCTTGTTGCTTCGGTCCTCTGACTGTGAATTGAGCTAATGTCGGGCCCAGACACGGACGTTCTCGGTTTCAGCGAGGCAGAGGCAGTGGCAGCTGACTCGGAATTCTCGGGAGAAGTCGAGGACAATTTGAGCTTGTTCATGTAAAGCCAACAACCGGCGACGGCTGTGGTGAATGCAGCAACGGCAGCATCAGGCGGGATGGATGCTCTCACACCACCCGTGCCTTTGCCTCGGCATCGCCTGCCGCCCGGGCGCAATGCAAGCCCGGGCTTGAGCTTCTGGAACACGCCGGAATTGCCACCACTCTGATAGACACTGCCCAGCTTCAGCTGCATTTGCTGCCGGTGTCTACGAGAACATCCACGGACTGTTTCGCTGGGAGGTCGGAGAGTCAGTCCCTGCACGCGAACGAAATCCATGGCTTCAGCTCGATCTGACTAACCACCTCCTCCTGCTCCTGCTCCTCCTCACCCCCCGCCTTCAATGTACATCACTCCGCCACTGAAACGGAATCATCAAACTGCACTCCTCTGAAATTCGAGCAGCAATCAGCAACCATCAATCCTGTCGCTCCGCCCCTGCTTCCTCTTCCTCCATTCCCCCAGAATCAACGAGCATTTTCTCCAAGACAGAGCTCGTCGCAATTGCCACTCCTCCTCCTCTCTAGCTGAGCTGCGGACTCAGCTGATCTGAGGTGAGGAAAGGAAGAGAACAATGAGAGGATCGGACTGTCAACAAGCAGAGCTCGAGGCGGTCGCAGTCGTGGTCATGGGGAGCTCTCAGCTCAGCTGGGAGGGGCGGTGCAGTCGAGAGGTCGGATGGGTGTTGAGGCAAGGGGGATGGTGGGGGACGAATTTCGTTCGAACGCCGTCACTTGGCTCTGATTTCGTGATGATCTTTTGTAACCGAGACAACGATGAATTTCCGTCACACAATCGGAGCATCGCTGCGGCTGGGGTGGCAGACCGTGGCTCGGGCTGGGGCTACGCTGCCTCATCCACTTCTCATGCAACGTGGCTTTGTGTCCACTGAGCTCCGTACCGGCCTTCGCCTTTTTGCCATGTCGCTGAGTTGCCGGCAGTGCGCCACTTTTCTCTCGCCTCTGCTGCTCTCGCCCTCCTCCCCCCCCCCCCCCCCCCCCCCCACTAACCCCTTCTATCTTCTCGCCCGTCCTTATCTTCCTCCTCTTCTTTTCGCTCTCTCCTCCTCCTACTGCCATTCCGTCTTTTTTCCTTCTCCAGAGCTTCCATCATATTTTATTCTTATTCTCTTCTTATTCAAATCATACAAACTCTCTCGACTTTGTCAATTCACTTTCCTCTTTCTACACCACAGCCTTTGGGAGCTTCCATGATACTTTATTCTCATTTAGTTCTCTATTATTGGAATAAGAACTAGATTGTATCAAAATATCCATGACTTTAGAATTCTAGTCCTTGACTGTTTCACTTATCTCCTTCTACACCGCACCGTTTGGAGAGTTCCATAACCCTTTTTTTCTCATAATAAATCATGTCAACCGTTAGGACCTGGAAATTATAGAATTTAGAAATTAGACTTTGGGTAATTTAGTTTAGTCCTGATTAAATTTATCATTGTGATTTTCTAACTTGTTAGCAGGGTGTTAAGAGAATGTTGGTTCCCAACTAAGAATTTGATGGAAAGGTGTTGTTCCTACGCTTTTGAGGGAATCCCGGTCCTTTGCAGTCATCCACCAAGTGACTTATCCACACGGAGTTGTTGACCTCAGTGACAATTCTTTGAGTGTTCTCATCTTGTCATCTCTGGTGTTGAAGGCAACGGAGTGACTGGGGCATTTGACGAGCTGAAAATTTATTCAGCATAGTCATTCTTCAATTGTCCTCAGTTACATTACCTGAATTCCAGTAATTCGATGTTCAAGGGATCGCTAAAACATTTGGATGCTTGATTCTTAGCATTCTGCTTCAAGGTGGTGGAGTGTAAACTTTTGGACTATATATCATGGAATCTACATGAACTTTCTTAAAGTGGATGTCAAGACAAACATTTTTATTGCAGTCTTCGATTGTAACAGGAAAATCGCTTTTACTGTCTTTTTCTCACCATTTTTACCGCTTATGCAACTGAATATCCTTAAAGTACGTGCACTTTTACGCAAGATATTTTTTGACAATCATCCATGACTTTCGGTGTAAATATTATTTCTACTTTTAAATGTTACTGAGATCCATATCATTACATGAAATTGGTAATCCTACACCAAATTTCTGGATTTGCATATTAACTTTTACACGACATTCAGAGACCTGCAGTTTGTAGCTATTTCAGCATGATCCTGTCAAAATCTCAGAGTCTTGGTATGAAGACGCTATGAAACTACTGCGTGGCAAAAATACAAACAAGCGTGATTTATCCTAAGAAGTTTATTGTTACTGAAAGTCTAGTCATTTAAATTCACACCTCAATTATTGATTAGTGCACTTTTGTTGATACCTTTTTCTTATAAATATCTTTACAGATATCATTACAATTTTTTGATGGTGTTCATTCTGTTGAATTTATCAATTTTTTGTGTAGTTATTTTGCATTTTTTCATATCAACTTTTTTGAATGATACATAATTTACTATGAATCAATAAATAAGTTAATTTTCTATAAATCAAGTCTATGTTTATGTATTTTTCTATACACATGATATAACTTAATCTATAATCGATTGTATAGGGTTATTTATAATACTTGTTATATCATGTTTGCCACAATATGCATTTAAACGATGCACCTCGCGTACAATTCATTGGATAATGTATGTAAATTCATAAAGAAGTTTTATGAAAGGTAAAATGATCAGACGGATGTATATAATCAAGAAATCTGATAACAATTTGACTTTATTTGGTTTTAGTAGTCATAATGAACTCCATTATTAGAAACAATGGTAGTAAATGAATATTTTTTATAATGTGAATATCGCAAACAATAAGCTTATCATATACACATACATTAATATAAATCTCCTGTTTTTTTTCAAATTGTTAGACAAGAATACGGAGACTAGCATTTTCGGTCCAGCGCACTAATTTTTTTATAACTCTTTGTAATTATCATTATGATGTCTTAATTTCTCGGCCTCAGTTCATAGGATCATAAGTCAAACTTGCATGGTGGCCTGCTTGATGTCATCATACGGTGAAGTTGATCATCACGTGAGTGGAAACATGAATTTCCATCCTAACTTAAGCTTTGACTTTTTGACAATTATACTCTGTTGACGTTACATGGACCAGGTTCGCCACGAGGGTTCAAAACCTTCCAAGTCCTGTGTAAAAGCTTGGGTTTGGACTGAACAATCGCTAACAACAGGGATTACGTGGGGTGAATCTGCGCATGTGTCGATGTCGAAATTCGAACACCTTCTTGCCGTTCCATATCCATTAACAGAACTACTTTCTCTGTTTACAACAATAATTGAATTCAAGCCTAACCTCGGGTAAACACGAGATTGTAAGGTTTTCGGCAGGTTTAGTTGTTCACATGTTGCATGAAAGTATTTTCAAAACATAGAAAGTAGATAAACTTTACTTTTTTTGCTATCATTACCAGTTCTATTTCTGTCATATATTTCGCAAACCACTTAGCCCCCATCTAGTTACATCTAGTAACTAGATGTAACTAGATGCTCTTTATGCATCCAAGATGCATAATAAACGAAACTAAAAACGAAATGAAACCTCATCCAAGATGCTTGAAATCGAAAGACTTGTGCTCCATAACAAACCATCCCTACGGGCAGATACGAAACTAAGTTACCAACACCTTCACATTCATCAAACAAGTTTCAATTATCAAAGTTTCACTTATATGCCCAAATGAAGTCGAGAAGAGAACAAATTCGCATCCTGCACTTAACTTTCGGAGTATGATCGAAGAGGGAGCGTTACACGTTTCACCTCAAGGTAGTGCGACTTGTAGTTCAGATCTTATCCGGCAAGAGACCTAAGCTTGAGCCAGGAAGAGCGGCGATGCCTGCGGAACGTGGGGTGTTGAGCAGGGGAGCGCATCCACAGACGGATGAGGTGTAAACGGAAGACGATGGGGTGAAGGGAATGATAGAAGCCAAGGAAAGTAAGAGGCGGTGGGTGGCGATGGTGTCTATGGCTGCCTGTCGACCTCGGGAAGCGCATCCGTCACCACCACGGTTGATTTTAGATTGGCTGAAGATGGACGAACTGCGGTAATCTTTTTTAAGCACGTTGCACTGCTAGCGTACAGAACCCTCTCACTTATACGAACACAAAATCCTGCACAAGCTCCTTTGCCGAACCACTGTGCAGTACTGTACTGCACTTGGCCTGACCTGGAACTGCGAATCCAGGACTGATGGACTTATGCACAAAGTGCGAACAGAGCGGAAAAAGAGCAGATCCGACTCTCAGTATTCTAATCAATTCAGCCTCCATCGAATTCAATCGGCAACATTCACGAGAGGTGATGGATTGATACTAAGCTCGCTAATCAAAGTTCGAACTAAATATGACGCGTGATACGGTATCACACATCATATTTAATTCGAACTTTATGGGGTATCACTGATACCCCATAACTACAATGAATAAACTGAAAGCCTGTTCCAAACACGACAGGCAGACGTAGCTGCATATCTAGAGCAAAATTGACAACCGCAGAAACACTTTCTCCGGGGCTTATGCTTGAAATCAATTATGAATGATCATCAGAGAGCTATGTGCTAGATGAATTTTTGGCTGCAACCAGCGGATGTAGTTCGCTTCAGTTGACAGGCACCAACTACTCAACATTATCGAGGGCATTAATAGAATCGATGTAGAAGCCTACACACTTTGATGTATTGTACTTGCAGACACAAATATGGAATTTTGAGCGGTGGAAGCTGACGTTACTCCCCGGCGAGTAAAGACTAACTGAAGAGCTTGAACTCTTTTCAGGTGTCCAGTCTTCTCAGACCCAGACCAATCAAGGTACAACCTGGATATGCCTGGAACTGACTTTTCAGCTGCCCTTCAGCATGCACAGGAACTTCCCAGGCTCTTCATCACTTCAGATAATGCAGGATTCAACGTGGATCATCAAAGTCGAACATTTCCTCCCTACCAGTTCTATCAGGGACTGTGAGGTGACAAAAGGCTTGTGAACATCTCCAGTAATGAAACGTTCTGCAAAACACCGGACGTATCTTGCCAGCTTAATGGTTGTGTCTAAACAAATTACCTTGACCTCATATACCTTTCCCGTATTTTCCAGTATTGTTCAGATACCAGTATATCTTTTTCGAAACCACCATCATTTAAGCTCCCAATCCCTGAACTGGGAATTTTCTTTCAGGTAACTATCATTTTCTGGACGCTCGCTATTCTGTAAAATCCACTTTAGAGGGAGAAGTAGGACCGTCCCCGAATCGAATAGCTCGTTGTTGCTCGGCAATACCCTTTGCAACAAATACATTGCGGGGCCTCAATGACGCAAGTCCTTGATAGTTTTGGATTTTAGCTACGGTTTGGGATTGGGTGGCCGGCTTCCACGATTTCTTCATCGATGCTACAGTGATTAATAGTTTACCCGAACTCTCGTGACCTTGATAATGAAGCCTGAGTCTCCTCAAAAGTGCCGCCATAGATTGACCACTCCTGCACCAGCGCCGTTTCTTTTTCAGTACTAATGTAACTCTGAAGCTCCAGAAATCATCTGTCTATCGGCCCCTACATGAGAAGTGTTGGATTGGAATGGCTACATGAAACTCGATTGGCGATGCTGTGTCATTAATCCAAGGTAATTTTCTAGTAATTTGTTCTCCTGGTCTTCTTGCGGCACACGTATTTTTCTGCAGCAATTCAGTGTCGGAAAAGATATGCCCGTACTTTCATGTTCTCATTTGGATCCTCTATACAAAGTTGAAAACCTGACTTAAATCCTCTCACTTCTCGATAGCATAACTCAGTTGAGATCATACCTGCCACTTATAGCGAGTTTCTTGATTTCCCTCGTCGCAGTCAGTGTTTGCTTCATCTCAAAAAAGTGTTTTATTGTCACAGGATACAGCTGAGCACCTGAGAGACGCGGTTTGACAATATGAGACAAACAGTGAATGGAATTCAAAGAAGACAAAAAAACGGTGAGGGAGAGGGAAAAATGACAGAAATTGGATACTTTCAGTTACTAGGGATTAAAAATTTTGTCGTTTTAAGATGCACCTGTTTACGATATTCCACAGTGGGAAATGCATAAACTGCTCAATATATAGGCTTTCAATCATATGGTACAGACAGACGCAACATGACAAAGCACATCTGAAACAAGATCATCCCAATTAGCTTACATCAAGATATGTGAAATCAACACGGGTACATCAAACATCCAGAAAATCAAATGGTCATGTAATCTACAATTCTAACTACGATGAAGTGACCGAAATGTTCGGAAGTGTTTTGACAATGACGCATCCTCGTGACAGGGGACGGCAGTGAAAGATATAAAACTCTGACGAAGCTGCTGGGAATTGACAAAGTCCAGCATGTTCTGGAAGTATATTAAACAGAGAACCTATTACCATACATCAACGGACAAATATAAACTAAATCGAATTAAGATCTTCACGGCAGTTAAGAAACTTCTCTTACCAGCATCGTGTCTCTTTTTCAACCCTTGCAGCAAAGTAAGTAGGGAAACCTGGAATCACATAAATCAGCCATTCCACAGTTTGAACAGAAATCAGATCAGCGTGCAAAAGTATGCGGTAGATCTAGAACTACCTATCTAGCTCTGACCTTCTCTGGCGATTGAAGAGTTCAAAGTGTGGCCATTGCAATAATCATAGATAATACTCTCTTCAGCTCTCTTGCAAATCAACAGCGGCGCACATATTTACCTCAGCAACATAACTTGGCAACATTTCTGCGTTTAAGGTGATCGGACCCGCAGTGTAATTGAGAGGTGGAACAACGCCCAAGGAAGCAGCTTCCTGAAAAACAATTTTGGGTTTCAGATTCATCCCGGTGTCTAGTGCCGTGACAGATATGTACATCATTAGACATTGAACCCTTCCTGACCTAATTTAAAAAAAGGCTAAAAGATGTGGAGACGTACTTCGAAAAACACGAATGCTCGAGGATCATAAAGGCCGCCTGCATCTAAGATCAATGAAGGCAGATCTTTTGGGATGTCATCATGAGGAAAAAGTGTATCTTCGCTAAGACTTTTATCTTGTTGTGCTTCATGTTTACGTAAACAACCCAACAGAAGAGAAAGTGACTTCAACGTGGGAGTGTATCCCGCTGCAACCGTTTGTCTATACACGGATAGAGCCCAGTTTGTCCTGAAAGCACGTGAGAATCCCTTAGTTACTGATAGTCTTCGCAGTCTCAACCGAACCACTTACGAATGTCTCAGCAACTTTGTTACCGAATTCAGGCCTCTTCAAATTTTCCGCAATATGCAAATACTTCAAAAATTACATACACACGCGAAGCGCATACTGTCGGGAAGTATAAAAGATCATACCACTGTTTCTTTGGTTCTTCAAAGCTTGGCCCAGTTACTACTCCCCTAGGTTGCAAATACGCGGGTGCAGGTAGCCTGCTCCGTATGCTTGCATAACATATTCCTGCAATGTTATAAAGTGAACAGTGTATTATGTCTGATCTCTGTCCAGGTGATTTGCAGGAGTCCACTAAAGAAGGCACGTCTTCGGAAGATAGCTTCGCAGATCAATCGAGATTTCTGTTTGGGAGTTTAAAAGTTCTTGTACGAACCTATCACACTTTCACATATCGACTCATTGGGTACCACACCCTCTGCCTTAGCCTTTGCATAGAGATGGAAGGCTTTGTCTGGATCATGCATCCTGCAAAAACAGTCCAAGTTATAGGAACTGTCAATTTTCGACAGCTAAAAGTTGCATCAGAGGACTTTTCCAACAAAAAACAGCGAGCGGTGCTGACATCTCTCCTATCTATTGTGCAGCAGGTTGAAGTTGATTCAGGAAGTGAGAAAATTACACTTGACAGGCCTCGAGCAGAATACTGTAGGTTATTTGATCGGGCATAACTCTGGCTCCCTTCATTTCGTCCACCACAGAAAATGCTTCATGTGTTTGCTTAGCATCACCTTCAAAGCCGCAACTATATCATGTGAATAAAGCCAAACCAATGCACGAAGAAAATGGAGTGTCCAAGCCGATGGGGTACAAGCTCGAGGTGGAAAAACAAAAAAACTACAAATTCATTCAAAAGCATAAGGTGTCAATCTAAAATATCTAATTGTCACATGATATATTGATCTGGGAAAGTAAATAGAACAACTATAGAGATTAGGGAGCCTTACTTAGAGCAGTGATGAGGGCATTGAAAGTTGAAACTGTAGGCAGCAACCCACGGGCCCGAATCTCATGGTAAAGTTTCAAAGCTCGCTCCCAGTTTCCGGTCTACAATGTCAAAGCACAGCGTCAGAATAAGAGTTGTCGTGCGTAGCGCCAGTACTCCTAAAACGCCAATATGCATCGCAAATTTCAAGAAAACGTCACGAACTTCCCAGATAGAGTATCAGAAACTTCACAAATTATACTTCCAGTTCTAGGCGGCGAAAAGTGACACATGATGGGAAGGGATATGAAACTTCTTGGTCAATCTGCACTCATCTCCTTTCAGCTTTTTCCCGTAGTAAAACTCTTAGAACGTTCGTTTCCAGTATGCATGCCAAACAGATGTCTGTTCTAAACAAGTAAACTTCTCTCGGAAGCAAATACAAGGAACGTTTGGTCGTGATTGAATTTCACAAATCGGATTTCACTCAGATTATTCTTAACAAAAGTTGTCACCGTACGTTGCTGCACACTCCCATCACGGCACTGTACGTAATCGAATTAGGAGACATTCCGAATGCTTTCATATTGTCCAGAATTTTGAAGGCGCCATCTACGTCGTTAGCATGACCAGCGACGTCTACCAGTGCGCTAAATAATATCTGCAAAAGGAAAACAATTACCTGGATTAGCCTAGCAAAACTTTCGAAAAGATTATGAACTTGACTGCGTTGTTGAATCTATTTAGGAAGCTCAAGAATGCGGAACGAAACGTACCTCATCCGGCTGCACGCCGTCTTTCTTCATATCCTCTAGTACCGTAAGAGCCAAATCAATGTCTCCCGTTTGACTGCAGGCGTGGACTGCAGCAGTGTAGCACTCTGGAGTTCCCTTCATCCCACTTTTGCGCATGCTTCTGTATACATCAAAAGCACGTTCCACCTGCAGAACAGATCTGGCTCAGTCAAGTTTATCTCTTCTTGGACGTGATATCCAACGTGACAGTAATTTTAATATCAACTACAAACCCAGCTCTTTTGAACAATAATTGTTCAAATTGTTCAAACTTTGAGGCACTCCAGTGAATCTCTCCAGAATCCTCTTCCATCGTACCTGGCCGCTCTTTGCGCATGCGGACATCAGAGCACCGTAAGTCACGTGATTGGGTTGCAAAAAGCAAGGTTCTCGTTTCATGTCAGCAAGTACGTCAAAAGCTCGCTCTAGACTTCCAGCACGACCACACGCGTTGATAAGAGTGTTGAATATGGCTAGGTCTGGCTTCACTTGCTGAAATACATAACAAGTCGAGCAGGCCTGATCTCAGAAGACATCGTATGCAGATTATGAGGCCTGGATGAAGTCAATCCGAATGCTTCAAAACTCCGGACAACAATTCAATCGGAACAACTAGAACCGACAGCATGAGTATCTTACTTCATTACCTTCGAAAGCATGATACCATAAACACCAAAAGCCTTGGCAACTTGTCCAGCACGAGCACATCCATCGATCAAAGAACCGTATGTCTTGATATTTGGCAACACTCCGGCCGCTTCCATGTCATGATATACCTGCTCCAGAGTAACCTTCTCAGTACAAGATAGCACAAGAGCAGTATTTGAATTACAGAAGTGTTTATCCAAGTGAAATGATAATGGACTGACAATGATGCAAGAATCATACTTTAAAGGCAATATCAACTTTCCCAGCCTTGGCACAAGTTGAAATCAGTGTCGTGTAGAGGATAGCATCAGGTTTAACGCCCGACTTCTCTGCTACAGAAAGAGCCTTCAAACCCCCTGCGAGTACGTAATGAAACTTCCTGAGTAGTGATCGAGTTTAAATGGGAATGGACCTTATTACAAGTGAAAACGAGGATCAATTACAATCATAATGCTGGATGCTTACGCTCTACCAACTTAATAATTGGCTGCCGTCAGATCACAAGGATCGAAAGATGACCACTTCAGCAAACATCGAATCATCACGCTACATATGTACCCATTTTCTACCAAGATATTAAATTCGAATCCACATTTTGAATGGCAGAAAGTAGTTCAAGCATACGCTTGATAAGCAACTGAGGCCCACGGGCATATTAAACTGTAGACGTACTTACCATCCACATCTCGAGCCTCACGACAGACAGAAATCAGCATGTTGAATGTTTGAAGTGTTGGCCTACTTAGTAACCTCGTAAATCTAAATGCCTCTCTTACGGCCTTCTGCTTCTTACAGCTGTTAAAAAACCTTGATTGATGTATCTGCGTAACAGGGGTCACGTTAGACGCACAGAACAATCGACTCGGGCCCAACTCACTCTCGATTAATCATACGAATCCAAAAAGCATATGAACTGACGCCACTAAGAAATGCAGGATTCCCACAGCAGCATATGTTCTATAACGTACACACCTTGCTGGTGTCCAATATTCTAACTTTGTCCATTGCTTCTAGCAGCAACACACAATCTTGAATCCTGGAGACATTGAACATAACTATATTAGGAGATAGAGATCACCAGAAGACATTTCAAGGATTAATAAAATCGCAGCTTTGTATTGGACAACAATGACAATCACACGTGGCTCCAAGACATAGGCATGATGGTCTTGTCACTGTAGTGATGGTGGACTCATCTATCAATCAAAATGACACATTCCACGAAAAAAAACATCCACTCGGAAGTCAGAAATGCAAACAAACACATCTCCAAATACGCTGGGCATCAAAATTTCCAAATTTTGCATACTTCTTACTGCGAACCAACCTTTCAGAGCTCAATAAGGCTCGATAAATTCTTAGATGTAGATCAGCGTCTGCTGACTCTTCGATTGGGAGAATCTCCGACAATATCCTTGGCACAATCCGACCTTTGCTTTTATCTACTAGTTTCTTACTCTTATTCGAGGTTTTTGTATCATCTGCCATAGATGGCGCAATGTTGTGTACCATCCGCAAATCTCGAGACTGAACCTCATTTGCAGGATGACTTCTTGTGTCTTTACTTTTTCCTGAACTGGTATTAAGTCCTAGCCCTACGGTTTTGCCCATCACATCGGTGGTCTCAAGTTCGATCGTCGACAATGTATCGGCGTTTGTCCAACCTGCAGAAATGGATTCAACTTTCTCATTTACGATGATGTTGTTTTGAAGCTCTGAACCTTCGGTATCGCGACCACCCGCAGAGTCCTCTTCTTTTTCTATGAGATGGCCTGAAGCTCCATCGCTTGAAATCCCGGCATCGCTCTTATTCTCGGGCGAATCTATATTGTTTCCACTGAGCTCTTCCTTCCTGTCTAGACTAGGATAACGTCCCACCATTGGGAAAGCCAGCATGTCTCCTTCTAAGCTGGAGGACGCCTCCGTAAGATTTCTCTGGACTGTATCTGCTGAATCCTCATCCGCAGTATTGAATGGCAGCAAGGGCGACAAAAGGTTCACGTGTTCAGAGCGACTGTCCACAATGGGTTGATCCGTTCGCAAGTCTTCTAAAACTTCTGCATGGTCTCCAATGATTTCAGCAGTCGCTGACTCCGAAGTCGATGCAAGGAATCCTGACAAAAAACGATGTTCCTGCTCCTTCAGCTCATTCTCAACGTTTGAGTTGTGACTTTCAGAAACGTAGTCGGTGGGCTCTGAGACCTGCACCATCAAAGACTGAATCAAATTCACATGGCCCTTCAGGTTCATCTTCGTTAAACCCCTGCCAGAATATTGAAGATCGGGGTTTTCATCTCGTGTCTGAACGTGAACCACTCATATGCGCACCCCTCATAATTCTGATTTGAAGAGCACTGTACTGCCGCGACAATCTGAAATAAAAGAGGACCCATAATACTGTGGATACGTGGGGTTTCACGTGAATTCACTGCATTGGAATGTGCAAGTGAGAGAACCAGAAATGCACAATCTAATTTAGTGTACCCAATTTATATTCATTCAGATTCTCTAGTCCTATAATGAGATCTTACAGCACCAGGGCCGACGTTGATATTAGATTCCCAAATTCACGAATTCTCAAAGCCATTACACTCGCCGCAAAACCGTGCAGGGAATTCACACATAATCCCGCTGCGTACCTCTCTGATGTCAACCGCACTCTTGAGTCCGATTCCTTGAGCTGGAGTTGGAAGAATTTCGGTCTGCGCCACAATGTTGCTTGGTTTACCGAAAGCTGTAGCAATTACCCCTGACTCTGTTTTATCGGAGGAAGAAGAAATTGTCGCGGCCAATTTGAACCTGCGGGAGTAAAGCCAACAAGCCGGCAGCACGGCAGCAGCGGCGGTAATTGCCGCAATTGCAACGTCCGGAGGTATGGAGGCCCGGATGGCAGTGCCTTTGACTCTGCATCTCTTTCCACTTCGTGGTGCGGCGAGCACTGGCGTGTACCTCTGCAATACAAAACCCGGAGAAACCTGCATTTTCGGTACACGTAAACATCCACAAACTTGGCTGCGAGGACGTATGCACAATTCTCGAACCCGGATAATGTCCATGGACAGCAAAACACGCTCGCTCATGCCCGCTTTTTTTCGCACTGCATCACTACGCTTTGTGAAAAAAGAACACTACACTCCGCGGTGTGAAAGCAATCTAATCAATCAATCAATCGTATCCTTCCGCTCCTTCCGCTCCTCCCTCTCCTCCTCCATCCTTCGAGAATCAACGAGCAAATTCGCAATTCGCACCCCGTCTCCGCCACAAGCGTGAGCTACGAGCACCGAAGCACCAAAATTCTCAACGACCTTGGTCTTTCATCTTGCGCTGCGCCCCGAATTCGCTTCGACCGCCCTAACCCGGCGCGAGCTCATGCGTTCTTGCATTCGCTCTATCCGCGTCGAAATTCAATTCTCGTCGGGGAATCGAAGCACTGCTCGGCCCGGGGCTGCCTCATCCCCTTTCCAACTTACGTGGCTCCTTGTCTGGGTCTGAGAGGTACACTTTTGAAAAACGTAATCGCTCGAGCCCGTGGCACTCGGAGCCTTGCAGCCTTGCTGGTATCTCCCTACAATCCAGGCGCGTCTCCGGTCTCCGTTGCTGGTTTACCGTCGCCCCTCTGTCGCATCTGGGTCGCCTTGCCGGTGACCACCCTCCCAAGTCGGTAGTTTCTTGTCTAATCTCGACGGAAACCTGTCTGGTTTGTCTTGTACGTGACTGGGCTCTCTTGCCGTGGGAATGAGATGCCATGCGATGAGCTTCCCTTCCCGTTCACAGCAGCAGTTCCGATATTGGCCGAGGATTACAATATTCGGAGTGAGGATTAATTTCATCATGAAACCATTTCAAGGTTTATCCAGTCATACATTTATTTTATTTTATTTATGATTTGTGATCTGTTCATTTTCTTTTCTTTTCTTTTCTTTACTTTTATAAAATACTATGCTTAATATTTTTGTAATATGTCGAGTTCATATCGCCTTCCTTCTCAGGATATTCGAACACGAAAAAGGAATGTTGTGTGCCTTTCAATGTGGTGAACCAAGTATGATGTAACATGATTATGAGCGGAAAGGTGCATAATAAGTGCGTGCGCACAGTTTATTCTTCAGATTCCGCGATATCTGTGCTCATATATCAGCAACTTGCTCTCGATTGTTCGTCTGATAATGAAATAAGATTAGTTAAACTTCTTGTGGCTTTTCCTAAAAAGTTCTTTTCTGACCTGTTCGTATGGTGGGTCGCGGTCTTGTAAAATCTTCTATATCCCCTTGCGTTGGTATATTCGAGATTTATCTGTCTGACTTGACGAGCTGAAGAAACAATGTACGCCGGTTCTTCTCCACAAAAAAAAAGGTATTCCCATCCCTTTTGAGTTCTACGAGGATGAAACTATACAGAAAACGATGGTACTTGTCGCTAGAGCACTACGATATTGTCAACCATTGTTATCATCATTTATAAACTTTGAGTAGTTGCTTATATATGACATAGCTGTATTCACCAATATTTAAATCTATTGTGAAAGTTTTTCATGTTGGAAAAAATATTTTCTCGTATTATTAAATCTATTGTAGAATATATATTCATGTTGTAACTAAAAAACACGCATGTATGTATACACGTGTGTGTATATCTGAAAATGATATAGAATATACATTTGTCAATGATAATCACTAAGTTATGCATCTGGTATGAATTTTGTACCAGATTATAGATCATTTCAGGACTTAATGCTCTTGAAAATAAAATGAAATTATTTATCTTTAATCCAAGAAATCAGACAGCCATATAATCTCCAAATGATTGGACGCGATAATGGGAAAGCTCTCTTTTCTACCCAATACTACCAAGAGTAACAGGAAACAAGCTGACTGGTAGTTCAGCAACTACATAGTCTACCTTTAACACTACTGGCTCTCAGACATCTCTCAGATCCTGAAATATCATTCTGCAATTGCACTTTCGGAAATGAAATCAAGAAGTTTCACCATCTCATGACCAGAAGATGCCCAACTCTTACACTTCTCAATCTCTCTCATAACCCAAAGATCTTCATCTCTCTGGATCGGTGTCCGAAGGTAGTGCCCACTCAGAGTCAGCTCAGGTGGCAAGCATTGTTCAGGTTCTTTAGGATTTTATCTTCCCGTCCTCGAGAATATACAGCGCTTTCATCGTTTCTTCCAAAGCTTGTAAAAATTATGTAAATTGTTGCATCCCATTTACGGAGCTTGTTGTGTTATTTCCACGCCGTACCTAGGAGATGTTGATCTGGGGAAGTTAGCACTATAATGTTTGGTCGTTTAGCTAGGAGGAACTAAATTATCAAGAATATGGATGGTTGCATAATTCTAGTTTGGCCAATATGAAGGCTTAGCTTTTAAATATCTTTGATTTATCTGCAGTGCTTTACTGGTTTAGTGTCCTACAAATCTACAAATAGATACATTTTCACCTACAAATTGGCACAAGCTCATACAAATTTTCCCATATTGAGCTCTATCTAACGCGAATTGTTCATTGTGTGAAATAAGTTTGGATGTACTACGTAGTAACTGATGAACTGATTTCAGAAGTTGTTCGAGTATTCTGAACATACGGCAAGTTTTTCACTGCCGTCACTTGTGTCGTCTATTGTCGGTCACCCCAGATGACGAGATCAAAATCAACCCCAAATGCAGTGTAACTCCGTCTGTTACCACCAGCCATCACTATCATTTTATTCTTTATCAAGAGGGTTTCTAATTTACATATAATTGCAACAATGCTTATATGGAGACTTCTTTAATGGGTTTATCATATCAGCCATTATCATATGATATGGATCTATACTCCCATCTTCATGTTTCAATGATTATGATACCATTTGAATTCCATCATTGATCCATATGACAAGTTTTCACATGCATGTGCAATTGAAGTTCAATTCTTACTACTAATGTATTTATATAAGCGATGTTTGCTTTGGCAAGCGATAGAGGAAGATTATGTTTGGGGATGATAATGCTTATGGATAAATTTGGAATGAAAAGACAAAAACCAATTCTTAAATTATAAGATTTTGAAAAAAGCAGTAGGGTTCAATATTATAATGGAACTTTTTTGGCATCAAACAAAAGTATGGATGTCCACATATACATGTGTGTGTAATAGAGACTATAATGCCATGATAGTCTCTCTTACACACATATCATGCCATGATACATAGATATATGACATACAATTTCATCTTATGATATATCATCATTATGTTAGAGAAGAGCAAAACTAACATTGTTATTAATAGGTATCCACATATTGTGAGTTCATATTTTTCTGTTTTTAAATATGAATAGTCACCATATTTTAGTAATGAATAAAGAGTATTTGAATCGTTTTCATTTATAATATGATTTGTAAATTTCCGAACTTATTATTTTATGAGAATTATGAATTACTTTTTTGAAAATTTTACTGATTCTTGATGTAAAAAATTTGTGAATGTAAATTTAGATTAGTTATTCAGATGAATGCAACTCTATATGTTAAATTAACCTAATTGAATTTGATTGAAATAGTATTGTTTAGCTAATGATGATTATGACATCACAACATCTTCTTTAAATAGATCAAGATTGAGATATAAACACCTTGTAAGAAAAATTGAAGAGTGGTATTCTAACTGTGCAAAATACTTACACAACTCTAACTCCATCTATTTTGGCCTGAACTCAAATTTTATTTGAAATAAACAATAATTTATTTGTGTATTGTGAAGTTAAAGAATGTTGTATTTTACACGTCAAAACCTATCGTATACATCACACAAATGAAATGTTACATGTTTTTTAAGTGTTATTACTATCTAAACCTTTATTTTCTCTCAAAGATAATTCATTATCATAATAAATATATTATGATTTTTTTAAGCCCACTAGTATAAAAATATGTGGAATTGATGCATAAAGAGTGGGATTGTATCAATTTGCATGCACACTTTATACATTTGATTGTTGTCATTTATTGTATCATACAAAATATGTAAATTTTGTTGCTGATTGTTGAGAATAATGGATCAAATATAACAAGTAATTTCTTTTATTTTGATGTTTATTGATATTGAAAAGTTTTTTTTAGATTGTTCAATGAATATCATATGCATTTTATGTGAATATCAAGCTTTGTTTATCATGTTATTGTTTTTTACATTATTTCATGTATGACTTATTGTAGCTTAATGATGTTTGCATTATGCTCATAAGCTTCAATGTATGAAGAATATGCTATAAATAAAAGTTAAAATAAAGTCAAATTATATTTTAAGAGCATTGTAAAAAGTTGTTGTTAAATTTATTTATGTGATGATTGATTTACAACTCAATTGCAATCATTTGTAATTGATATATTGTATGTAATATAATAATAAGTAATTAAATTCAACATCATTATAGACTTGATCAAACCATATCATGTGTTTTAACACACTTGATTTTATGGATTATAATATCAAAAAATAAAATTTAATTATAAATCAAAAGAGTATGAGATGAAAATTTTGCTTAAGTTCTATGTGCATGTCCATGGTTATACTCAAAGAGCTTATTAAATATTCTATTTGATATATGTATATTTTAAAAATCATTGATGAAAAAATGAATGGTTTCATAATTTTATTAATTTGATCATACCAATAGAAGTATCATTGATCAATATATATTTAACAAATCGTATGCAATTTAGTGAGGAGATGAAATATTACATGTGGTGTTGAACATGCTGAATACATTGTGACAGTGTATAATCTTTGTACTTTCAACAACTTACTTATTTTACCTTTTTAGTTTAACAATTTCAAGAATTTTTGAGAAACTTTTGTTGGATTTTTGAGAAAACCTAAATAGAAATGGAAAATTGGTTTTCTCCTAACTAAATTATTAGAATATTTTGTATGTTGCATCATGTTTATTCTATCAAAAAGTACTCGACAAAATATTTTATTCATTCATCCATATATTTAAAATTTTGAAAAAAATCATTGTAAATCAATATCTAGTCATCATTGTAAAAGTGGTAGTTTATTTAGGTGAATATGCTCAAATTTTGCATATTGTCTCTATTAGAATGAGTTTTGTTTGTCTTGTTTTCAAAATATTTTAAAAAATAATTATGAATTATGTTTGAATTTTGAACACAAAGTTTTGTTTGATTTCATTGATTATTATTAGTTTAAAAAAAGTGTTAAAACTTCATAATATATGTTTACATGAGTATTGCATTTCAACATTAGCAACGTTTTTTAATAGCTTTGAAATCAATTATGGATGAAAAATATATAACACACTTAAGCTTTGCAAGTAAGATTACATATTGAGATAAACATACAAAACATACCAAATTTGTCAAGGCTATGATGAACATGTACATGAAAGCCTTGAAAATTTTTATAAAGATTATATTACATGTATTATTATCTCATAGAGCAAAATATATGTGAAGACGGACATATTATTTTGGTTTGTTGCTCATTGAATTTTCTAAGTATTTTATATGAATCTTCTTATATCCATATTTATATTATGATTGACCATGAGTTCTTGTATGCTGATGTTTGTGGACGGTTTGACCCATTTTTTAAAGATTTATTTTAAACACATATATATATGATGTGATGATTTTATAACTTTCACTATTGGTCATTTTCTATAATATAAATATAAAAATAAAAATTCACAGTCGATTTTGATGAACTGATAGTTATGTTAACCTCCCTATACATTTTAGCGGATCCTTTCATTCTTTGTACTACAAGTATTCTCTTTGAATTTTGCTTACACAAGGATGGATTCGATTTTAGCTCTACTTTGCACCAAGATTTTGCTCAGTCATACTTCATACTCTTTCAACACGACAAGTATATGTTTGAATTGTGTTCATCCATCCACAATAAAGTCGTATTGTGTGGAACTGATACTAATCAAGATGAAACATGTTTTTTTATACTTAGCATATACATTTGAAATGCACATGCTAGTTATCGATGATGCCATTAAAAAAATCATTGTCAGTGATGACGTATATAATAGATATTCTTTGATGTATTTCATTAAACTGAGCATAGATATGCAATGTAGCATGTATTTTGTTATTTGAAAATTATTTTTCCTAGACTGTTATGATATTGAAGTTATAAAAGATATGTTTTTCATCATAACACTTTGTAGATATTGTTGTTGGTTTCTGTTCAGTTTATTCAGTGCCGAGATATATATAGAGTTCACATTAGATCTCTAGCGATTGGGGCCTTTACCTTTTAGCTTAATGCTTGGATTCTAAATGGAAAACCAGGCATTGAGATTTCCCATTTTAAAGATATTACTTCTTGAGCTAAGGTCTTTGCATAGTGTGCTTAACCCACTTGACGCATAGTATAATACGATTGAAGATTTGTAAGACTCCAGTCTTGTCAGTCGTAATTGTAGAAGTATCTTACGCCGCGGACAAGTACCAATCGTCCAATGTTATCTTCAATCATCCCGGTGTCTGTCCAGCGTGTAATCATTCGCATCCACTTTGCTGGATAGATCCACGGGATATCAGAGCTGATGCATCTCATCTATCTCATCCTTACATGTGTCTTAAATGCCACCGACTCTGTGCCTGCAACGACCTACATGTTGCTCTTACCTTTATCCTTAATTTGGGCAAAGGGCAGTCATGTTTCTCTCCATGTTTTGTATGGATTGACCACAACTCTTCTTTCTGCTAGTAGATTTGTGATAAAACAAAAGCTTAAAAACATAAACATAAGAGATGAGATCATTTTCACTTAGCTTTTATCCTTCCCAGAAGTCTGTGCGAGGGCTTTTACATGCCAGATTTTTTTATAGGGGATATTAAAAAGCTTTTAAGAGAAACTTACCGTTGTATCAAGTACATCTATAATATATTTTTCATGTAATATAATAAAATCTTTCATTGGTTCTCACAAAAATTGTCAGATTAAGGTATAAGTAGTTGTTTAAGCTTAAACTTGTGTCTTCCCATCCTTTGTTTCCACTTAGCCTGCACTTTTTTCTTAGTATTTATATATAAATTTTTCATTGGATGTGTGTTCATTCATACCTCATGATATTTTAGTCAGATTCCTCCAAATATTTTGGAATAAGTATTGTTTAAATAAAAGCGAAGTCAAATCTTGAAATTGAATATATCATGTATGCTTTGAAATTCAGAGAGCTTCATCATTTTGGACATAATATGGAATTATATAATGTTATCTCTTCAGTTTTAAAAAGACGTATCAACATGTTCAGTGTCAATGAGTTTTTCATCGTATTTATAATTACAAACTCCCGGTTCATCGGTCGTTATACATTTGGACTATTTTCAATCCTTGAAGCTTAATTATCCGTCTCGAGCTTACGTTTTTTCTCCCCGTGGTAGCGGAAAGAGCTTAATACTTGTTTCATGATAAAGGGGGAATTTTTGTACTTAACTGAAATAATATTGCGATTTATTGAATGAAATACAGTTGTCTTTTATCCAATTGACGTGAATAGTCCAATAAATCTCCCGGAGCCGGATTGGTCCAACACAAGTACCTGCCCGAAACCCTGGAGAAACTGGAGAAACGGATAAGTTACCACCTACTCTTTTACCTCATCCTTGTTTACCTCATCCTCGTGGACGTGGTTCGACCATTCCTGCCATGTCTCCACTCTCACGACACCCTCCCTATCTGCAAATGCTCCAGCATGCCCATACATGGCTCACATGGATCCATACATGCTGAGAGCAATTCATGATAAAGAGCTGACCTCGCCACTTGTCAGACGAGCTGCCCCTCGATAGAAATCTTCCACTGCCCGCGGGCAGATTTGAAACGTAAACCAAATCAAGTGTATTTACCGAAGCGGTCATTATTTAAGAGCTATTTCACTCAAGAGCGTATTTAGCTGTCGATGCTCTCGAACCAAAAGAAATCGGAAGGTCTGCTCGAGGGCCGGCAGGAAAAATATCGATGAGATATGCGCCCGGACTTCCAGGGACAGGGGAGGAGACTTTGGCGCGACCGCCGTAAAAATGTGCAACGCGCTAGATGCCAGTGGAACACGAAGGTGGCGGCAATTAAGGAGGCACGAAAACAGCGTCCTCCAAATTAGCCTCCCACTTAAGTCCGAACATCTCGCGTTCGGATATACAACCCGACCACTGAGAGGGCTAGAACTCCGGGTAGAGCATGATATTTCCGCAGCGGCCCGCGTGTCTCTGCGGGACGGGTAGCTGCCCGCGAAAGTTTCCCCGCCTCCCCCACCGAGCTGCCCCAAACCCCTCGGGCAGCAAACCCTATTCCCGATGCTCCCTCCGCAGGCAAGTCAGGCAGGCAGCAGCAGAGTCCTGGAGAGTGGGGAACTCGGCGAGACCGAGGACACGGCGAGCCGCAAAAACAAAATCCAAAAATCCAGAGGCGCGGCCAAAATGCAGCAGCCTACGCTAAGGTAAGCGGAGCGAAGAAGAAATTCGAGCTTAAGAAGGTCGTAGGCCGTGCGAGGAATCGAGCGAATCAGTGAATGAATGAATGATTGATTGCGGTTAATGAGCGAGGGGGGAAAGGAGTGCTTTACTGCGGCGGTGCGCTGTGTGATGGGGGAGAGGGAGACGTCGGAGGGCCGGAGAGGGGGGTGAGGATTTTTTGTTTGCTGCGCGCGGAGTGGAGAAAGGGGGAGGGGTGCCGGAGATAGATTAGATAGTCCGGAGGAGGTGAGAGGTGGCAGGGAGGATTAGGCAGAGCGATCCGCTTCACCATTCCCATGCGGGGGCTTGGCTTCCACACATTGCATCAGCAAGTAGAGGGTCCGCTTTTCGGTGCGCAGAGCGAGTGCTGAAAAGCTGAGCGTGTCGAGGATTAAGTCTTTCATTTTGCGCGCAGGAAGGTGGCTACTTTGAAGAGTAGAGAAGCGGGCATCCGCGCATTGTTGCGGATCCGAGGAAGTATGGCGGCCGCTGCTGCAGCCCTGACGTCTTCGGTGCCCTCTTCTCAAATCAGTCCCGCTGTGGAGTTTCTCCCCAAGCGGACTGCCAAGACTCTCAGCGGTGCGCCTCCGGGTTTGCTCTCGAGCTTCGTTGGTGACAAGGGAAGATTGTGTGCCAGTGGCGGAGTTTCCATTAAGTACAGAGCTCCCAATGGATGTTTGCCCCTTGGAGCCTCTTCACAGAGGGATGGGTTCCCGCAGGTCGGAGATGGAGTGAATCCCTTATTCCGCAAAAGCTTTCATGTGAGCTCCGGCAGGGAGACCAGTTCGGCTGAGAGGACCGCTGTTGCTACTTCGGATTACGCTGTTGCGGAGGAGGAGCGTAGGACTGTCACCGAGAATGGCAACGGGTTTCCTGCGCCTGGAAGAAGTGCAATTTTCGGGTATTCAGGAGGAGACGAGGATGAAGACGAGTTTGACGACGAGGAGGGCGAAGTTCTGCGCGTGGACAATGAGTCGACTGACGATGAAGACGAGCTGGCCATTGCCAATCTCGGTTTGCCCCAGGACATTGTCGATTCTCTTGCAAAGCGAGGAATTTTCCAGCTCTTCCCAATCCAGGTAAGCTACCGAATAGACGTGAGGTCTGCTGGTGCCTAATGTGAATGAATTGAATCCCGCCTCATGGGTTTGACAGTCAGCACGAGTGTTGCCATTTTGCTGCTCCGAAGAATGTACACAGTACTAAATTCTGGTGGAGTAGGAAAATTATATTGAGTTTTGTAGATGGACTGGAATGCGCTATGTAGTTGTCAGCCAGAGAAGAGAATGTTTCCTTCACGTCGCACGTAAAATCTGTCACATGTTTTTCTTTTCACGCATGCTTTTACCTGGCGAAGTCTGGAACATAGAAATTATTTGGAGTCGAACGTAAGAATCTTACTACAAGTGTACATGCTCTTCACTTCTCGTCGCTGTGTTGGTTGGTTGTTATCTTTCTAAGAGTTTGGGAACTGACGCCATGGCTGCTCGTAAACCTCTGATATTCACCATATTCACATTTTCCTGTCCCTATACTAATGATTTTCTACATTTCAGAGAGCCGTGCTTGACCCAGCAATGGAAGGCAAGGATCTTATTGGCCGAGCCAAGACCGGTACTGGGAAAACTTTGGCATTCGGTATTCCCATCATCAACCGAATTGTGAGGGAGAATCAGGAAAACCGCACTGCCAGGTACAGGCCTTCATTTGTCTCTGGTGACTCAAGAATTTTGTTGTAAATGCCTTCCATGCTCTGCACGTACTGTGCGTGCGTCCTTCCAAAATCAATGAATGTTAACGCGTATCATGTTGATGTCTACAGACGAAGTGGAAGAGCCCCCCGCGCTTTAGTCTTAGCTCCAACTCGTGAGTTGGCGAAGCAAGTCGAGAGGGAATTTATGGAGTCTGCACCATCCCTCTCAACCATCTGTGTCTACGGGGGCGTTTCTATTACTGGACAACAAAGACAACTCCAAAAGGGTGTGGACATTGCTGTCGGAACGCCCGGGCGTATAATTGATCTCATTGACAGAGGTTCACTGAAGCTTCATGAAGTCCAGTTCTTGGTTTTGGACGAAGCGGACCAGATGCTTGCCGTTGGCTTTGAAGAAGATGTGGAAAAAATTCTGGAGGGACTCCCTTCAGAACGACAGAGCATGCTCTTTTCTGCAACTATGCCTGCATGGGTGAAGAACCTATCACGAAAGTATCTAAAGAAGCCTTTGACCATCGACCTGGTAACAATTTGAACTGTCCTCGTCTCCAATAACTTCTGGACGATGTGATTCCAATGCTAGACTCAACTTGTACAGAGGGCATGATATTCAGTTTAACCTGCTGTTTATTTGTGATCGAAATGCTCATCCCTACTTCTCTTCCTTTTCAGGTTGGCGAGTCGGATGAGAAGCTTGCCGAAGGAATCAAGCTTTTCTGCGTCAACTGCGTCGCTTCTGCCAAGCGTTCCATCCTCAATGATCTTATCACGGTATGGAGTTTGTGACTTTTACTTGAGCGGTCAAACGCTAACACGCGAATTTTTTCTTGCTCGCCTAAGTGCTTGTAAGAAACTGCGGTTATGGAAGTTTGTCGCATTTAGGCTTATATTGGTTGATGAAGTGGAGTATACTTGAACACATCAGGTTGAGATATTAATGGGAGAAATGTTAATTCTGTCAGGTTTACGCCAAGGGTGGAAAAACCATTGTTTTCACGCAAACGAAGAGAGACGCAGACGATGTGTCTCTTTCTATGAGTAGACTCGTTGGATGTGAAGCTCTGCACGGTGACATCACCCAGGCACAGCGAGAGAAGACCTTGAATGCTTTCCGAGAGGGAAAGTTCTCTGTTCTGGTCGCCACTGACGTTGCCGCTCGTGGTCTAGATATCCCGAATGTCGACCTGGTAAGACAGTACATACTTTCACTTCCACGTACTTAAATACGAAGTCTCAGTAGCCTGAAAGTTGATGGATTGATTTGTGTCGACAAGAGTGTCGCATTTGAGCTGTCTTTATATCGACGAGGAACGCTAGTGTTTATCAAGTGCTCAAATTGTTTTCGAATTTTCAGGTGGTCCACTTCGAGATTCCGAACGACCCAGAAACTTTCGTGCATAGGTCTGGACGTACCGGTCGAGCTGGTAAAGCCGGGACAGCTATATTGTTGTTCACTTCCCAGCAGACCAGAACAATGAAGCAAATCGAGAGAGATGTTGGTTGTAAGTTTGACCGAATTGTCCCCCCAAGTGTGGATGAAGTACTCAGTGCATCATCTGATCAGGCAACAGAAGTTATCAGAAGGGTTCATCCCCAGCTAATTGACGTATTCATGCCAACTGCCGAGAAGCTGCTAGCAGAGAGCGGCCCTGGAGCACTCGCCGCTGCTATTGCACACTTGAGCGGATTCAGTCAGCCTCCTGCGTCTCGATCGCTGATCACTTTCGAAGAGGTAGGTTCGACAGATTTGTTGTCTGTGCTCTGCGAAGAGCACCGGGACTGGCAAGGAGCGAATAGGAAACTGCTCTAGGTCAACTTTAGCAGGATGTGCAGTCTAATCCAGGCTGGAATTGAATACCTAACTTGAGATCGTGATTGTATTGTAAATAATGCTATCGTTCATTCTCAAACGCATCAGCACACTAGACTTTTGGTTAGAGTCCAACCTTTTCAGAGCTGCTTGTTGTCTGAGCTCGACGGTACTTCTTCTTGGTTTGCTAATGTAGTACAAACTTTTGTATTTCAGGGGCTCACCACTTTGAGGTTAATCCGAACGAACAAAGCCAAGGGTGGTCGATTGGTGTCTGCCCGAGCAGTCATGGGAACGTTGGCGGATATCTACCCAGCCGCGGCTGACCAAGTCGGGAAGATTAAGATCATTGATGATAGAAACGTAAGTCTCTGGTTAACTTTACCGCATTTGCAATGTCAAACTATTTATTTCTAGGTGCAATGTTCTTCATTTTGTACTGAGTTGCTTTCTTCGAATCTACAGATCGAGGGTGCAGTTTTCGATTTACCAGAGGATGTCGCGAAGGAGCTCCTGACGAAACCTAGGGACGCCGGTGATCTTATCGACGTGCCAAAATCTGTAAGTTTTCTCTTGTAATTTGATTAAGTTACAATCCCGCATCTTCTGAAAGTGGTTACCTTCCCGATTATGTCGATACGCGACTAACCTTTTGGCTGTGTTCACAGTTGCCGAGAATAGAAGAGGATGACAGCGGACGGAGGAGTGACATGTATGGACGATCCTTCGGACGAGGTGGTGGTGGTGGTGGTTTCAGGGGAGGAGACAGGGACGATAGGAGAAGCAGTAGTAGTAGATTCGGAGGAGGAAGGGACTTCGGAGACAGGGGTGGAAGAGACTTCGGCGATAGAGGAGGACGATTCTCAGACTCCGGGGACAGAGGTGGAAGGTCAGATTTCGGAGAGAGACGGTTTGAAGATAGAAGTCGAAGCAGCAGCAGATTCGAATCCTCTGATGATGACTACTCGTCCCCACGCCGAGGTGGTGGCAGGTAAAATTTCTACACGCGTGTACTAATTGTATTATTCTCATTTTCTGACTTCTTTGTAAAAGACGTGTGGGGCGTGATGTTAGACAAAGCGTATTAGTCGTAAATATGTATGAATTTGCTCGAGAGCTTCAAGTCTTAACTGAAGCGCTCAAGACCCCTGTTGGTGGATCATGCGGTTGTTCGTATGGATGGCAAGTGCATTCAGAGCTAGTTGCTTGCTGCGTTATCTTAATGCCGCGAAGGACAGAACCACCTGTTAAGAAGAGGACTGACTTTGAGCAACCGGGGTTTTGGCAGAGGGGGTGCCTTTTCAGGAACATGCTATGTTTGCAATCAACCTGGTCACCGAGCATCGGACTGTCCTAAGGGTCGACGGTAGAGAAAGTCGGTTATTCGTCAGCTGGTAGAGAAGTTCATAGCTGTCACTCTTGTAAAAATGGTTTGTTAAGACATTCGGTAGCATATCTGAATTATGACGAGTTATCCAGAGGCCTGTGTTTAAACTTGGTGGTACTCTTATACTTATGTGACTAGGGGTTTGATCAAGTTGGAAACACCCAAGGTCACCAAAGTGACATCATATGACACGCACGGCGGTGGCCCATCATGCTCCGTCTCACGTAGCGAGCGAAAAAAGCAGGATGCTAGACACACCTACGTTCTCAGAGAGATTAAACATTTCGAAGGTGTAAATCTTTCAGATCATGGACTGGAGATGGCGAGCCCTTAACATAGTTCATGAGGTCTCTGATCTCTGCTGGAGCAATTAATTAATCGTTTGCTCCTGATCAATTAGATTCAAAATCTTGATAGATGGTCGCAATTAATCAAATGAGCCTCCAAGGACTCAGACGTTATTCTGAAGATATAAGCAAGCATGTCTCGACTAGAGAGTTCCGTTTATGCCGTTGGGTGGCTGTGAATCTGATTTGGAGTCGTCTGGTATTTTAAATCAAGATTACACGTCTAGATGTATAGTATGATTTGCCATATTTTTTTATCGCGAAAATCTGGACAGATCTTGATGGATTTTAACCTGTCAATCTGCCGAACTGATCCTTGTGCACTCCAGTTCCCACATTTACTGCTAGATAGACGTAGCCAAAGCTTTTATCCAGAACGCTTTTCTGGAGAGAGTCGTACTGAAATTTTTTTGCTGTTCATAACCGTCTGTGACTACGAAGAAACTCACACCTAATTATTTGGAGAGATTAGAATCACGTAACAATCACACTCGACACCTTTGAGTTACTTGCAGCAAAAGTGATCATATTGCTCACCACTAACGAACTGCTTAAACAACCTACCTCAAACCGTACATTACATCAGAAGAAAACCTTAGTCTGCTGATACCGACGAACATCAACAAAAATGTTTCTTTAAAAATTATTGGAAGTGTACGCCAGATTTGCTGTTATCACTACTCAATACTTCCATAGGGCCAAAGACGATCAAATTGATTCACTCTCAATGCCAGCATGCCGTTTGAATCCCAGTGCAGAATCATCGAATTCTTTAACCGATTAAAATTAAAATTAACCATAAAAAATCGTTATCATCATATAACTTTAATCAAGATTATAAAAACATTAAAAACAACCAATACTCTATACTCTCCAAGATGTCACGGGAAACTCAATCGGTGAAAGAGCAATGGACACCTGCGGTTAGTTTCTATTCTTTGATGCACATAATTGATCACATCAAACGATAAATACTGTTCAAAAATTTGATACATATGGAGTTTTACTCTGTCGTCTCATGTCCACATAACTTTCAACAAAACCTGTGAATGAAGAGTATGAATATTACTAAAATTATGAATCTTCAACTCTTTCAACGGTTGAAACTCACAAGAAGAAACATCCATGATGATAATCACCTTGCAACTTAAAAGATTCCATAGTCTTAACACCATTTACACATCCAAGAAAACTTCACTCTCATCATGAAGCAAATCTCAATATTGAACGTTTTGAAGTTATGGGTGATGAAATCTAACTCTTTGACATCAGGTTGGCAGATGCAGTAACCAATCCGACCTTGTTTTGTTACCCATGGTTGAATGTTGACAAAGAGACATGCTATAATAAAAAAGACTACACTGAATATATTTTGTTCATCTTTGTGAGTATATGTTTATGAAAACACATATATATTTCACTAAATTTTAAATTTGTGTCACAATAAACAACAATCAATGTTTTAAAATCGTCTGAGTTCAACTAGCTATAATCATATTCAGCTAAAAATAATTAAGAAGTGAGTTAGATTCTGATACAAGCAAGACTTTTAGGTCTATAAAATATAGATATAATATTGTTCATGAAATTTGCAACCACACATTTCAAGTTTAAAATTGTCATGTCACTATCAATTTTTGCTACATAATATGAAGAAGCGATCAAAGCTAAATTTGTAAAACAAAATCAATTTCATAAGAAAGATTTCTCTTGCAGTTTTTTAAAATTACATCAAAATGGTAGAAGTTCTTTTTGTTGGAAAAAATTTCAACTCCTTGGATCTATATTACCATAATAATACATCAATTATCAAAATACAAAGATCTTTGTATTGTAAAAGATATTTATCTCATAAAAATCAACAAAGAATTATTTTTTTAATTTAATCAACGATTCATGTCATATATATATATATATATATATATATATAAATCTCTTTATTTTTTGGTGAATATTAGACATAATTCTTTCAAATATCACATTGTTGTATTTGTATATTCTTGATGCATATATATTTTTTTTAAAAATAAAAATTAAATAAAAGTGATAAAAATTTAAGGTATAAAATCTTAAAGCAATAACTACTTATAAATTCATTTATATATCATTTTTGAATTATATTATTAATATCAACTTAGCTTTGAATGCATCAATAATGTGATATGTATTTTAAAAAAATGAATTCATTTTTCAATACTATGCAATATTATTATGAATAAATGAAAAGTTCATACTAATTTAATGCAAAAATTTTGAATATCTAAAAAGTAATTTTTTATATAATTCAAATTACATCTTATTCCAACATTACAGAAAGTTTTTTCAATGCATATTAAAAAATTTTAAAAACAATAATTTAGATAATAAAATGATTGTAAAATATGATTTTTTAATATTTCAGATATGTGTATATATGAGATTTAAAAATTAAAATAATAAAAAAATATTTATATAAATTAATACAAGAAAATTTTATATCAACAATATTTATTGGTTAATATTGCTTAAACTTTTTAAGCATGATTTATCTTGATGGTGTAGATATGAAGCTTAAACTAATATTATGAGACAACATTTTAAAACATTTCTGTTGCATAGGATAACAATTGGAGGAATTTAGTACTTTATATATATATATATATATATATTCATCTTAGCCTATTTTTGAATAATTATATTTTCAAAAATAAATAACATCAGATTTTCTGGTATATTATTCATACAAGTAATAAGATATTGTGTGACGATGTTTATCCAATCAGAAACCAATATTTAAAAATCAAATAGAAAAAATCCATAAAATATAAAATGGCACAAGAAGATAAGATCATGTAATTGAAGCTTTCTGAATGATGTGAAAGCACAAAATAAGTATGAAGCAGGAAGAATCTGGAACAAGCAATTGATCAAGTAATACGTGATTGAGATTACGTTTACGGGAGTACAAAATAGTTTTAGCTTTAATTGGGTTTAATCAGTTCTCTTATTTATTGGTAGGTGAACTGACTTAGTTTACTATGGTCTAACTAGCCAGAATTAACCATGAACTGAAAATGTTTTTGACATTTACCATGAGTATACATAACACCTTAATCATATCCTAATTGTGTTTTAGAAAACCTTTGTTAACTTTTTATATATATATATATAAGTAAACTTTTTTGATCTAACTAATAAAAGTTAGATTATTAAACTTACTCAGTGTCTAAGTTAACTATTAGTGTAATAAAGATGAAGACCTAAAGATTATACTCTAGTGGAAGACTTTTAAATTTAATTATATAATTTTTTTTTGCTTAGTTAGTTATATGTTGAGTAGTGTTAGTTTTAAGCAAAGAAGACAGTAAAAATCTGTATACAACATTATATCTTAAAATTAACAGGGTTTGAGTATCTTATAATTCTTAAATATTATATCTATCAAAATAAGATCTCAAAGCTAAATAAAATATTTTTGATTTTTTTGCAGTTGTGCAATATGCTAATCCATAGAGACAGCATACTGATGGCAAAATTATTGATAGCTAAGCCTACTTGAAACGAAAGTGAACGGAAATCTGAGCTTGTCAGTTCAGAATAGCTCAAAGGTAAAACATTCTAGAGCCCTATAAAGGAAAAGTAATTATTATTACTTTTATTTACAAATCACTTGATTTTGATTTTATTGTTGTAAACATGAACTCCAATTCTTCTGGATTTCAGCAACGTGATTGCACTGATATACTTTTGGACACCAAATCGTCCCATGCAAAGGGTGTGATGTGAGTTGGGTATATGACACGATTATATTGTGAATTATTTTTTTCCTAAAAGTGTTGCTTCTTATCTCCAGGCTTGTAAGTATATGTCATATATGTTATATCAGATTCTATCAAAACAATACTTTCATGATAATTTTTTTTTATCGGTTGAATCTGCTTTTCCTTGAATGTATTTTAAAACAAAACGACATGGGTTCAATTTCTGATATAGATATATACACATTGAATAAACAAATGGTCCAGATTGTCTAATAGCAAGGCAAAATGATACACAAGTGAACCCATTGTATTGTATGAACTCATTTCCCAAAGTTGTTTTAAGCTGGAAACAACGTATCCCAATGATCATGCGTCCGAGTGATTCATATTTCATGCCAGAATATGAAATTTGATAGCACGGATTCGTATTTCATACCCTTCACTTCCGAACGAAATGTCTCGAATCCCGAAGATAATGAAAACTTGTCGGCGGCAGTAGTGCACGTGAAAAAAACAACGAGGCGAGTTAATAAAAAATCTGAGCCCTTGGACAGAAAGCCCGTCTTCGAGGACCCGGAGCCCAGCCCGTGCACTGCGAAATACAGGAAGCGGTGGTGGCAGTAGGAAAAAAGTCGTAGCAATCGTCGGACTGAGGCATCGCCATTGTGAGGGTGCTGGCCACGAGATTTACGACACATTAGTTCGAGGGCGTGTCGGGACGGCACCCGAATTGAAACCCTTCGGGATTGAAGCAGAATCGTAGAAATGACAGATCCGCTGTTCTTGCTGGTCAAGCTGCCTTATCAGGCACTGCGAGTGCCGAGGTTGCGATTGAAAGCGCCGGCCTTGTCGTTGCCGTCGGCCTCTGCAGTTTTTGCTCTGGTTTTAGTCTCGTACTTTCTGGTCATCTCCGGGTTCGTGTACGATGTGATCGTCGAGCCACCAGGGATCGGGAGCAGACAGGATCCGATCACAGGAGCTATCCGCCCGGTCGTCTTTCTGCCCGGTCGAGTCAATGGACAATATATTATTGAGGGACTTTCATCAGGGTTCATGTTCGTGCTGGGAGGAATAGGGATCATAATGCTAGATCTGGCCACTGATAAGGCCAGAGCAAGAAGCGTTCGCCTCTCGTTCGTTGCTGCTGGAATTTCTTTTGTTTCAATCGCTTACACCATGAGTATTTTGTTTATTCGCATCAAGATCCCTGCCTACCTGCACTAGATCAAGAGCTGTCCACGGCAAACGTATTCGACGACCGTCTATGCCGGCATTGTCTTGACAGTTCTGTTTCTTTGGTGACCTTTCTCTTCACAGTTCGCATGCGGGCCTGCCGGCTCTGGAAGAAGAGGCTGAATGTCAGCTTACATGTAATTTCTTATGCTAGATGCCAGGTAAAGAAATCGGCTGAACAGTCAGTTCAGCTTTCAAGCCACTACAGTAGTTTCCGGTCCTTCCAATTTCGGATCAGGTAGGTGTCAGCCCCGGACTCAGCATCACGGGAAGCCACACCTCAGTTTTGTACACGGATTCTTTATCTTCTTCAGGAAGTGAAATACATTCTCAGCTGGAAGGCATGAGTTCTTGCATATGACTTGCTTTGTAAATGTTTGTGAATCTGAAGGGGTTTTAGAAAGTTTGAGTTCATGTTCTGTATGTTGAGGCTAGAAGCATGGTAATATATTCGAGCTCACCTTTTCAGCTCCGCATTGAAACTGTTCGCCTGCTCCTTTGAATGGAAGGAGCACGGAAATTCGTTTTCACTTGTTGGGGACTCGAGGTATGTTGTTTGAATTTAATGCTTAAGTCGGTTCTCTTCACACGGATCAGTCTCGTTGACTTTGAGTGTCCAAAATTATGCTGGAACTCTTTTACATATACGTCATTGTTGAATTCTCTTTCAAAGAGGTTTGTTGATGAAACCTAGGTTCTCTCCAAATGCTTCACCACACTTTCTGACACATCCATGAGCTGTTTTGTTTTTGTAACCAGTGAGTTTGACAACTAGCAGAAGCTTTTAAGTCTGTTATCTTGCTCAGACGGGTCTGGTTTGAAATGATACCTTCTATCTGATGTTTCCAGTTTTATCTCTACACTCCTTTAAGTTGCTATAAACTTGTGACCAATTTTCACATGGATGGTAGTTGTTAAAATTCAAATCGATATAGCAAAGTGCTGCCATATTTATAAAGCGTGTCCAGGGTTTACTGCTCATGGTCATCGCCGCACTCTGAATGTCAAGTGCTCTGATTGTAAGGAGAATCTTCCATTCAATTGGTTGAAGAGGTCCTTTTCTTCAAGTTTTGAGTGTCCAGTGAGAGTGATGGTGATGTCTGTAATGTATTTATCGAGCACTAACGCTTGTAGCGTCAGTTTTGTATAGCCAAGCAGACTCAACAACAAAAAGGTCACTTTTTCTACGTTAGAAGCCGTTATGAAAAGTTTTATGTGAATTCTTTTTTAACATTAATTTTTGACTGCATCATTAATATCTTTGCTTTCTTTATTTGCAAAGCATCACATAATTATTCTTGCTTTTCTTTTAGTTGTATCCTTTTTTGAAAGTTTTGTAGCATCAAGATTATTCACTTATGTCATCGAAAATTCGTGGGTTTGTATGTATTTAAGGCGGAGTAGGCTGTGTGTTGTAAATGTAAGGCATTTCTGCTATGGATTGATTTTAAGGAGTAAATGAAGATAGATGATTTGTAGTTGATTGTCGTCACTACTTTAAAGAATTTAGGAAAGATATAAATTTCTCTGACTGCCTTAGTTATTCCTCTCGTTTATTTATAGCATCGTCTAAAATTTTACAGAGGAACCGAACCAAGGTATGTGTGCCATGGGCAGAAATGTCTCTGATGAACTAAACTTTGCATGTATTAGATTCGATGTCGCAAGGAATTTTTGTGAGTCTGTGCAGATGGTAGATTCGAAAGTATGGCATTTTTTTTAATTTAGGTCTGCATGAAAGGTCATACGCTAGGAATTCCAAGAAATCTGAACTGACTCATATTCTTTCTCTATCGATCGGAGAATGTCCTTATGGTTGGCAAATTAGAAATTGATTATGCTTCCAGGTGTGCTGTGCTTAACTAGAGCCAGAACGTCTCACGAGTGCAATTGAAGAGCCCTTGCTTGAATGGAATGCTTGCGAATCACAAATTATCTCTACCCTCTGGCGAACCTTGACGGGAAGTTTCGAAAACGATTCGAACTCGACACACCTTAGATCGATTGGTGATGTTTGGTGGAGCCAGTAGGGAACTCTACTAGGCTGTTTCATGAATCAGAGAACCTTTGATGGTCGGTTAAACTTTATGGACACATCTTGAAAGAGTGCCTCACTTATTCCAACTTTCGTTCACAAAGCCCATTCGTAGGTCTTACGACAATCCAAACCCTTAGCATGTAAAATGCTACCCGTGGTCAACGTCGTTCGGAATGTGACAGGTTAGCTCATCCTGAATCCGTAAGGCTTACATTTGAATGAACACAATGAGCATCGAAAGATGTTAATACCCTAAACTCCTTGTAGTACTGAACTTGATAACTTCTAGTTAACAGAAGCTTTTCACTTTCTTGCACTCAGACCTCCTGATAGGTAGAAAATTAGGTACTCCATCGGACGTTTGGGCTCTGAATGGAATAATTGATTTTCTTACTGTCAGGAGAAAGTTTGAAAGTCTAAAGTGTCAGATGAAATCCAAAAGCTTGAAGATTTAAAGTTTTTCAACAGTCTTAAAAACACAATAAAATATCACGAAGGAGCGAAATATTTCAAATTGTAGAATTATCGAATGGAAGGATTGAAAATCTAAGGTTTCAAGTTAAACGCAAACCTTCAGAGTTTCAAAACACATAAAAGAATACAAACAAGTGAAAAAAAACATGAAATTTCAATTGTATAATGGTGGAATTGAGGGATTGAAAGTCTAAGGAGTCAAGTTAAATGCAATCGTTCAATGTTTTAAAACTCCCAATAGAATCCACACACAAGATATATAAAAACTAAAACTTCAATTTTAGAATGATGAAATGGACGGATTGAAAGTCTAAGGCGTCACGTTGAATGCAAAAGTTTAGGGTTTTAAAATACCCACAAAACTGGACACACAAAACTACAGAAGAGTATATACTTTCAAATGTAGAATACTGGAATGGAAGCATTGACAGTCTAAGGTGTCACGCTAAACTTAAAATTTAGAGTTTTTAACTTCTTAACAGAGTCGACAATTATAATATATATATTTCACCTCCAGTGGAACTCATTCCACGGGAACACAAGGGATTTACTCAAAAACCTAATGTTTGATAGAAAATTTCTGCTAATTCTCTAACGAACTAACATAGTCTAACTAATTATATTCAATTTATTTATAGTTAATCAATACCTGAGAATAAACCTGAGAATTATGTAATCCAATATCAATACATTTCAATCCAAATGGATGTGTAGGAATGTTTTTATATCCAAAAATACTGACTTGATGAGACTAGTCCAAACTGATGTTAGAACTTAAAATCATGTTTTAGGCTCTAGTATGTGTAAAAAATCCATAAAACTTTTCCAATACCAGTGACTAATGACTCAAGTTCAAGTTCTCATTATAAAGTATAACATCTTATAATTTCTATCCTCTAGTAAACCTAAGCAACTGCTGCAACCACATATAAGAACTTCATGAATTCTCTAGATTACAGATTATCATATCAATAATTTAGTGAAAACTCTCCAACATGATTATATGCAATCCATGACAAGACCTGTAATCTTGAGGAACATGCATGAAAGTGTGCATAAAACTTGGCTGAAAATCAATATAAAAAGACTTTCAGCCAAACTATAAAGACTTCATGACTCGTTGTTCTAATAGTAAAAGTATCTCTTATTGGTATGTGCTCACGATGGATAAAAAATATTAAAGAAGAAGTATTCTACTTATGAACACTAGCCATATACGAATAATATATAGCATGCGCAATTCTAGCATATGCAAGGTCATACACGAAGTATGATATTTTGTCCTCATATCACATAACGTATGAAAAGTTTTTAGTATTTTGCTATAACTCCACACTTTATTAAAACTACATCTTTACAATGTGATATATATGTAGATAACTTAAGGGCTCAAAATATGAAGGTTATTAAACTCTCTAGCACATCTAAGATCTAACATGATTGCATATTACCCAAATGATGAGCTTATGGAACTATAGATAGTTACACATTCGTAAAGATGAGATGTGTTTGATGACCAATAGGATCTATTCATGAAAAGAGAGCGTTAAAATGAGTTGTAGTTGGCCAATTTAAGAGCAAAGTTTTTTTTGTGGAAGAACACCAACTTACAGACGTAAATAACGTAGTTACAACTTAACAAGAGATTGACATTTTTGGGAGTATTTATTCCACAAGTGTGGAAATAGCAGCCAAGACCTTCAAGTATAAGGTTTTGTTAAAAGATAATATCTTTGTTTCGGACTTATAGATTTGAACTTCAATATGTTCGTAAGGAGTACATGAGAGCATACTATACTAATACACCTTGTTGAATTTATAATTTGATTCTTTTACCCTTTAAAGTAATTTTTTAAAAAAATCTCGTTTCCATTATTGTATATAGAACACTCGCTTTACATAGGAAATCAATCACATAACGTGATGAAGTATCATTTCCTTATATCGTTTGTAGATAGTTTCATTCGATAATTAAATATAGTAGGTGGTGTAGGACATATATCTCACCGCGAAACTATAGTAATTATTTATTTTTTCTCGATTTTTGTGCGCATCATCCTTGTTCAGGGCCATGCTAATAGTCTTTGTATCTTTTTATCGTATGACCCCGAAGGTCGGTATGGTATCATCTTATCTTTGTTTATATCATATGTGCTCATTTCTTTATCTAGCCAAACATAAAATATTTTGTGGCGGAACCTATTTCTTGATACTTATTCTCGATATAGGAGAAAAGAAATCACATTAAAATATCATGAGATCACGTCGCAAATAAAGATAGTAATTTTGAAAAAAACACATACAGTCTTGTTACTGAGAATATAAGTCTAGATATAGACATGAAAAACTAGTAAAGCAAATTGAAAATAAAAATGTTTTTCGATATCAAATACAACGATCACTATCATGAATGTACCGGCACATGCGAAAGCATAAGCCCATGACACATGACACAAACTTTCACATGATCCAGTCACACGATGGAAATAAAAAAATCCACAGTCTCAATTCTCAACATTCATCAGTCCAAAACTTCTTAACTGGTTACAGTAGAAGCAAATTATTGAATAATAACCCTGAACCATATTTGAGATGTGAGAAAAAGTGGCTAGAACTATTTGCGTCACAGACGGGGGAACGGGAGTGATGCTGGCTCCGGAGCTAATTTGGACCGTCAATTCTGGTGCTTCGAGGGCCCCTAACCTCCACATCTCCAGTGGTCACCTTCATCCGGGCTTGCCATGTCAGCTCGTATATCCACTGTCGTCCAATCCTACCTGTGTCCGACATCTGCTTCGCTGCGCTTTTGCCAACGGGTCCCAGCGTCCGTGGCCCGCGCGCCGGAGTGAGCGCCCATGTCGAGTTCATATTTCCTGGATTGCACAGCGCCAAACGGCTGGTCGGATCCCCAGCAGCAGGTTCTGGTTCTGACGTCGAGTGAGCAGGTCATGGAAGTGGGGCAGTCAGTGGCGGGAGGCTGAAGGGCAAATACTGCTCGAGTCGGGTGTTCGATTGAAGGGAATTTCGCAGAATTTCATCAGCTATGGTGGCGACTGCTGCTCCGCAATCTTGTGCAAGTCCTGCTGTTGTCGCACCGCAGCAGTCTGGCTTGCAATCCATATCCTCGTCGTCCACATGTTCCACCTCGTCCTTTGAATCGCGGAGCTTAAATTCGTCCAGACGGTTGGTGTCTGGGAGTAAGAGTTCCGCCCTCGAGCTCCGTGGAAGCCCATGGGGATTGCAATTGGGACCCGGTGGTCGACTTTTGAATCATGTCAATAGCGTGCGCAGGCCCGTCTTGAGAAAAGCAGCGGAGAAACCTAATCCCCCGGGTCCTCCGACAGCGCAGGATTCCATTGTGCCAATTTCGCTAGCGAATAATGACAATTTAGAAGGGGTCATTCAAGTGGATCGAGACGAGAACGATGGGCCGCAACCCACTTGGGGGTGAGTCTCCGAAGCATCCATTAATTTTCCTGATTCAATTTCCGTTTGTTGGTGTCTGTCAGTACTCCTGCTTTATTATCACATGAGTGCGGATCTTTAGCAGACGAAGGGATGGAAACTGCTTAACTTCACACTCAAAAATCAAAATCAACAAGCTTTATTATTATGCTGTGCTTTACACTTTTTGCTCTGCAATTTATATGTTTAGGATGCAATTTCGAGGTCATTTGAAATATTTAGCACCCAAATTTTTAGCACATGTCGTAAGGTGGGAAAGTAAAATTCATCAAAAAGCGGTATTCTTCTTTCGTCGAATTACTGTAGTCAAGTTGTATGTCGGTGAAATGACAGCGATCGCTCCAATTTGACATGTCAGGTGATCACAATAATTAGTCTTCTTGTTTTTCCGAGACTGCAGTCTTTTCTGTCACACGTTTCGAAACGTTGAAACTTATACGCAGACAATAATCTCATGCAGGCGGATTTATCTTCTGGGTGGTGGAGATATTGTTTTCTTGCTCTTGTTTGCCGCGATCGGACGTTACAGTCACGGCCTGTCCGCCTTCGATTGGGATGCTGTTCGTACAGCTGACCCTTTCATCGCAGGTATGCTCCTCTTCTGCCTGAACATTCTGGCGATGGATTTTTGTTCTATCCCCCTGAAAAGGGACACAAAAGTCGAATTTGCCAATATGTTTTAACAGCCAGCTCCTTGTTTCAGCATGAATTTGATTACATCTCCGTCAATTTCATCACATTCTCGTACAAATGGTGACCTTTTTGTCTCCCTGATGTAAAACATGCTTAGAGGCTGCCTCCACTTTTTGCACAGCCCACAGAAAGCAATTATTCGTTTTGAATCCACTCCCAGAGCGAACGGGTCGACCACTTTGTGCCAACTGGAAGGTACACGTGCAGGTACTATAAGAGAAGATAAAATACATTATAACTCGGGCCGGCGTCTACAGACTAATGAGATGACAGCATATGCGCGAGCGAGACAGAGATCCTGCACAGCCGAGCGTGCTCCGTTATCCGAATCAGGTTCTATGGCCCATCTTAATGACAACTTCCATATGCTCTTGCGAATTGCAGGCTGGCTTCTTGGGACGTACTTCATCGGCGGCTATGGACCTGAGGGACAGGGTCTGAAAGGACTGAAAGTGGCATCACTTGCGGCCGTCAAATCTTGGGCTGTGGGAATTCCTGTGAGTATCTGCTTCGTCATTTGATCCAACTCGATCTGGATTGGTAATGCAGGGCTCGGGACACGGACTAACCTTGATTTTTGGCCGTATGTACAACAGCTAAGTTTGGTAATTAGAGGGCTTATGACCGGGCACGCCCCAGCTACGCCCTTCATTCTGGTGTCTCTAGCGAGCACTTTCGTCCTGCAAGTGGGATGGCGGACTGTGTTCACTGCACTCTTTCCAAATGATGAAAAGACATTTTGGAAGAAAAAGGGTGACCGAAAGGGTAGCCCATTCGAGTTCTTCGAGGTTCGCTACTTTCAGCTCTGGGAGGATTGACAGTTGATAAGTTCTTCCCGCTTTCGAGCTTTAGGGCTGTTAGTCCGGATCCACAAGCGACAATAATTTGCCAGCTTTTTTGTTTTCAGGTGTTCAATGTCTTGGTTAGAATATTCTGTTGTTGACAGAAAGCTGCTTATGTCGGTTACGGTTTTTCTTTTGGTTTAAAGTGCGTATCTAACGTGAATGTTAGAATCCTGACATGTCGTCATGGATGGTGTCCATCGCAGCTCCTCACGTCTCTCGTTAGGAGGTGGTAAGAGGGGAAGTAAGTCGAAGAAGGGTTCGAGCTAATTCTGTCGAGGATGCATGATCGAATCACTTACGGCGAAATGAGACATACGTGTGCAAAGCTATGCAATGCTGTAGTTGAAGAGAGGGTTGTTCACCTGGATCTAGATCATTTTGATCTCTGAACAATGCAAGCATAATGACATCACTTGACCGCTGACCGTCTGGAAAGGTCGAGTGGCATTTGTGGTCATTTCAGTTAGCTCTTCTGTCTAGTTCATCTGTCAGAGGCTCCTTCCTGATAGCTCAAGCAGAGCGGAGACCAACTTTATGTCGAGTTTGGAAGACGAGAGACAGCAGTGTTGCACTTGCATTTGGTTATTTTTCCTCGTCGCGTAATGTTTGACATTGTAAGATCCGTTTGGACAACTCGGTGAAGAAATGATTCTTTTACCCAAGCTTTCAAACCCTTGTGATCAAAGATGTTTTTCACCCGGTAGACATGAGGACATTTCCAAGGCGGGCAGATACACGGTGTCTGCGCACAGACTTGAGAAACTGGCATCTGGAAAGGTGGATATTGCCCCGTCTTTGGACTCAGCCAAGCTGACATTTCAGTTTCAGTGTCGTGTATGGTACAAGGATATGGTCAGGTACTTCATCTTTGAACGTTTTTTGGTTAATGGAGCTGCACAAACGAGTTATTTACTAAGTTCATTGTCGTTTCCTGGAATAAGGTATCCTTCAGTACTTGACTATGGGGTCACGATTGAAGCAAAATTTTCTAGAGATTTGGACGATGTGTGGACGATCCCCTTGTCCACACCCGCAAGAGTCAGAACCTGCGGTACACGGCGCGAGAAAACGAAACACACACTGTGAAACAAAACTCAGAAAAGTGAATTGCTTACACTCTCCTGCACGAAGTTAGAGACAGGTCTCTCGAAAGAAGGCCCTCCAGATGGTCTTTTCGAAAGAAGACCTGTACCGTCTTCGGCTATCTGCTTTCGCTGGGAAGCGGTTCTGGTTGCGCTTCTTAAAGCGTCGACGAGAAGTACCCGGGATCCAGTGTCTGGCTCCGTTAACTGCCCACCGTACGTCCTCCCACCGTCACGGCAGGTTGCGCTCGAGGAGCTCCGAAATACATGGAGAAAGTATTCCCGTACATCAGAAGAAGGCCTGAAATCTAACAGGTGAAGCAAGGACTTTGCGTCTTTGTCATTTTGTGCGCCACCGCCGGTTCCTCACCGAACCTAGATCTAGTCTGAAATCTGAAAGCAGTGGAAAAGGGACTTCCTGTCACCACAATGTTGTAGTAGCGTTGGACTGTATGGCCAACGCGACCCTCCTCGAGACGTCTCCAGCTACTCGGCTCCAGTATCATCACCCTCTCCCCTCCCTCCAAGAAGTACAGCGACGTAGATGGTCAGTCCACTCCCTTAGCGAAGGATCGACGAGATGACAGGAAGCTAGGAAAAGAATCAGACCTTTTCGTATTGTGAGCGAAGGTCCTCGAAGATGATTATGGAAGGGACCGTAGACTCTTGGCGAGGAGTTTTTCGAGGCGGAGGGGATGTGGACGGACTGAGGAGGAAGGGAGGTGTTCAGCTATAGCTACAGCGTCGATCGTCGGGATGACTGAAAGCAAAAGTGGTCGACGAGGAGAATACGTCGAGACAAAAGGCAGCCAGAGCCACTCGCAGGCTGGGATTATCCACATCCCAAATACTACGATCGAGAAAACTGCTCGTCTGACACCATCCCTCATACGAATGGTGCGGGGAGGCTGAGAGTAAGGATTGCGCGATCCTGCGACTTTGGCCCACGCCACTGACAAGGCCTGGGGCGGACACGACCGGCACTCGAGCTGAAGTGGAGAGTGCCGACCGTCCAGCGTTCTGTTTTAGATATGACATGTCGTCTCGCCCTCCCTCCCTCCCTCTCTCTCTCTCTCTCTCTCGCTCCTCGGGATGAAGCTTGTCGGGAATTGGGATCGTGTGGAGCGGGTCAATGTGCGCGAGGTCCACAGCCACAGGACGCGATCGGCTCTCCAAGGACACATCACGGTTACATCTTTGGTTACATCTTGGGAACAGCTGCAGCCTTCAACTGCCTCGTCCTCCGCACTGCACTCTGCACTCCGCCCTGACCCGATCTCCGAGCTCCGAGATCAGACAGACTCTCCGCGCTGCGAGCTCGTACATCCCATCGCGCGGTGTCCGCCTCGTCCGGCACGCGAGGTCTGCGGGTACAACAGCCATGCGCCTCATCGAATCGCGGGCATGTCTTCTTGATCCAGTGATCCCCTCCCTCACTCATCATCAAAGCCAGAGAGAGAGAGAGAGGGAGGAAAGAAAGGGGAGGGAGCTATAATCAAAGGTTTCACGTAGGATCGCACGTCGGGTCAATCACAGACTAAAGAACGGGGACTGGCGGAAACATTTCGTGGAAGTTTCTCGATGTTGAGTGTGGTTGCAACTTTCGTAACTGTTCCAATTAACATCTGCGGTGTTCCACTCCATCAATGTTGCCCGTACTCTCGAGAGTACGACGTGATTCGGAATTAAGCTGCGAGCTGATCGGGCAGCCGGAAACCCGCGTCGTCACTGCTGCTGCCGCTCGTCGAGTGCTGCACTGCTCGCCTTCGTCTGGCCACGGGGCTCGATCGAATAATTGTCCGTTGACCGCGAGCCACAAGACTTTGGAACGTCCTCCCTCGCTCCCTCCGTCGGCCCCCACCGCCGTTCCATCCACAGCAGAACGCAACGCTAGGGCTCAGTCGGCTCCGGTCCTAAAGTCAAGCACGACCCAACGCAAGCATTCCCTTCAAACAATTCTGAGGCCGACTTAAACACAGCCAAGCTTAACTTCAAGTCCATCTGCACAGTCCAAATCAGCGGTCCAGATCGTACCATGAGCCTCGGACCGTCGCCGCCCGGCCGGGGGCCCGCCGGCTTGCCGGAAGAGGACCGACGCCGGGAACGGACGGGAGGGAGCTGAGCCAGTGATTTTGCTCCAAGGGAAGGGAAGGGGAGGGGAGGGGGACGAGTGCACGCTTTGGCCAGGCCGGATCATGATCCGGGGCCGTGTTAGACGGGATGAAGGGACTAACATCCGGCCTCGACATGGCCAAACTCGGTCGCACGTGTTTGAAATGGAAAAATTGAGAGATCTCACTGTAGATTTTATTTCGATTTTTAGCCCAGCTGTCGGGAGCTGCCAAGAATCTTAATTAATAATGTAGCTGGTGTCGCGAGCTATATTTAGGCGGGAAAGCCAGTCAGCCCAGGCCAGCCAGAGTCCAGAGGCCCTAGGTTCAGAGACGGGGAAGGGGAGCGCTGCAAGCGGTTGGATGCCAAGGACAGATAGAAGCTTTAAAGCGCAAGTGGCCCGTTCTCGTCTTGCGCTTCTTCATCAATCAATCCTTTCCCGACTTTCGCCCGCTCCCAAGGTCCCGCTCTGACTTTGAGTTCAATGCAATAACCGTTTCCAAAGCCCCCTTCTCCCCCCTCTCCCCCCTCTCCCACCCCTCCCTCCAGTGCCACCAGGACTACTCCCAGTGCTCGCTGGTCGCTGGTTCGGGTTCAGCTCAGATCGGCTCAGCTGGGCTCAGATCAGCTCGTCCCGAGGCCGAGGCTCTCGCACTCACTCACCCTCGCTCGCTCGCTCGCACAGGCGGTTGCTTTCACTGTGGGGCTGCTGTGGGCGGTGGTGGTGGTGGTGGTGGTGAGCTGAGCTGAGCTCGCGCGCTCGGGCGAGTATGTAAAACGACACGCCCTCGCGCATCAGCATCTGGCGCTGATGCGCAGCAATGCAATGCAGCGCGAGCTGTCCCACGGTCGTCACGAATGTACATCTCGGGCCAACATGTGCAGCTCTGGTCTGGCTATATCACATCCTCAGGCCCTCGCGGCCTGCCTGTGTCGCTCACACTCGCACACTCTCTCTTCCTCTCCCTGCCTGCTCTTTTTTACCTGGTCCGCCCGGGTCGCTGCTATGCCTCACTCAGACGATGGCTGGCTGCTGGCTGCTGCCTGCGGCAGCACGAACGTGAGCGCGAACTGCCCCAGCCACCAGCAGGCAGGCAGGCAGGCAGGCAGCCCGCCCGTCCGCCCCCGTGACTAGCGAACACCCTAAGATACTCCAGATTCTCTACCAACAAGAGTCACGCGTCCGCGCTCTCGCAGCATACGGATTCAGACTGACTTCTTCCAGTTAGAGAATCTTGAGTATCTCACGATGTTTCCTGGCCATTCTCCGCTTCGCACTGCAGGCACGCGCACGCAAGCAAGCTGCTCGCTCGCACATCTTGCTATGGTGACTGTGTAGTGTATCAGATGAGTACTGTTTGGTCGGGTGGGAAGCTTGTCGGCTGCTGCAGACGTCTGCGAAGTCCGAAGAGCTTCGGAACTCGATGCGCTCCCTGTGAGGGATTTTCGAGTCAGCTTTCGGTTTCTGGGGCGTGTCGTGCCACATCGAGCTCCGCTGGACGCTTTTGAGATGATCAGCTTTCAGAATACACAAGATGGAATGTGGAATTTCTGTCCAGCGATCATTTCTCCCGATGACCTCGTAGCCGTGTTCCCTGGTCTTCACTCTGAGTACACTTGTATCGCAGCGGCGAGCTCTATGTTCGAGTAGTGTGCCACCGCAGCTCAGACACTCATGCTGGCTGATGCTGAGAAGGACCCAGTGATGGTTTGTCTTGCCCTACTTGCTCTGAGCTGCTCGTGTTTATCGCCTTACTGGATCTTCCAACCTTATCTTGCTAGAACTTACTCAAGTTGAGTTTACAAATTTTGCCAACAGTCTGATCAATGGTATTCTTGACAAAACACGGTCAAGAACGAAGACTCAAAAATCCGATGCAGGGATTTTATCAAGTTCAGTCCGTCATTCTGAGGGAAAGTGTCGACGAGGTAAATCTTCGGAGGTACATTGTCCTGGAAAAGGAAACTGCTACAGATCAGGAGAAATACATGCGCTCTCGAATACTATGACTGATCCTCCAGCAGACTGAATTGCAAGTGACACTGGACTCGCAGTTTCAGGAGTTCGAGGGAATCCAAACACACATCTAATTACAGTTTTGACTGGTGACTGTACGCCGCACGATAGTGATAGCCTGTAAAGAAGATTGAATACTCAGTAGTTGAGCAAAGGGATGCTCATTGCCCAATCTCAACTGGAACAATGAAATGTTTCGAAAAAGTGCAGAAGGAACATGAAAGGCAAGTGACACGGCAGTACGAGTAAAGCTGGTGGGACAGTAAGCATTGTGTCTACACCATCCGAGCAAAATTGATGTGGAACTCGACAAAAACGTAGGCCAGACTCTATACTTCAATTGAATGTATGTCGAACCAGATGCAATATGAGCAGCATACAGCACGTGGTCACAGTGAATGTTCTGTTCCGTTTTCAAATCATCTTCTCCTACTCTCGTCGAAAGTACGTCCTTTGTCGTCCTTTCAGGTTATGATAGTAGAGAATGTAGCCAATTAGTGTCTGAGAATGTACCGGAAGGGCCCGTTGCGCCGTCCCAGGAAAGCAATCCATCCTCATGCGTGAATGAAGACACCGACTAACAACATTACACACTCATGCTGCTACACTTTCTCATAGGTCATAACTTTTTACTTGTAATGTGGGCTATCTATCCAGTTCACTCTACTCGACCACGGCCACAGCCCCGTGATGCATTCCTATCGCCTCTACCTAAAGAGCACCAGGTTCTGCTCCAGGTATTCTCCACCTGTACTTCCACAGACCAGCTTTCCACTCGCCCTTATCCCGGAGCTCGCCTTTTCCCTTCTCGCATTTATTCTGACTAGTAACTCCTCTAGTAACCCTAAGAGCGGGACATCGTCCGACGTGTCGAGACCAGTTTACTGAGGCCGAGAGCAAATGGTTAATGGTTCTTCAAAAGCTGCAGCTTCAGCCCCAATCACGGCGACGATGCTTGTCTGGGATGAAACCTTTCGGCAGGACTGCCATCGGCTTGCTACCTCTATGCTTCACAAATGATACGTGCCTTTTTGCCGTATGTATGAAGAGATCTGCATTCACTCGTTTGAAGAGATGTGTGGGTGTGCGTGTGTGAGTTAGCTCGCTTTCGCTGAAGCTCTTCTCCTCCGCGGTTTGATGCATTTGACACTGAATTACGGTTTTTGTCCTAAGACCATCATGTACACAAAGATTGAACTTGTCTTTAGTCTGAACTGGAGGAAATTATTACAGTGGAGAAACGTCTGCGATGGGGCTAATTATAGGAATGGGCTATTCTTAGAAGTGTTGAGGTCAAGAATGATGGACGGCTGCGCCAGTCCAGTTCAAATTCTTGCCTGCTCGATATTGAGGGCAATGGGACTTTAATCTAGTCATTAGAGTTGCTGCTCTGGAAATCCTGACAGGAGATGCCAGTCTTCACGAAGCCGTGGTACAAGCGCAGCGGTCATTCACAGACACAGTGGCCGTCTTGTGATTACCTTCGGCATATCCTGTGTTGGCCCGGGAATATAGCAAACTGCGAGCTGTATCGAGCAATCGCGAACTTGGAAGGAACGTCGCTCTCTCATGAACGTAGGCGAGGGATTGCGGAGCACTGCGGCTTATGAATCCTCTCATGGTATTCACGCTGGAGTGTAGTGCAGCGACAGATGTCAGTATCGAGCTGATCTAGGCGTAACATTCGATTCGATTCACTCGGTCTGCGTCTGAGGATTCCAAGTACACATCCACTCTCTTCTTCCCTCACCATCTCACTCTTATTAGATGACATTCTATGAGCTACATTGAGCTGAGATAACTGTAATCTACTCACCTCATAGATGCCTTAGCATGCCTTCTGTATCATCCGATGAAGTATGTCAAGCCTACAATTGTCTGCTTAAACTTCTCGATATTACGACCCACAATCTACTTAAAACCTTAACAAAACTGACGTTTTTCAGTACAATGTTGTTTCTGTAACGAATGGTGGATCTTGGATTCATGCCGTCAGATGTCAATATACAGGAGAATATTATCAAGTTCTCATTGCATTAATCGATGGCCAAGGTAGTCCGTCTTCTCAGTACTTCAAGACAACTCACATAATCAGAAGTATTGGCATTCGGTTGCATCGCAGCATATACAGCACTCACCGGTTAAACCTCTTAGCATTGTAAGCTAGCTCCATCTCTCGCCGCCAACGTGAAGAAACTCATTACATTTTATAGGCTCAAGAATGCAGATCCCTGGAATTCGCTGATGGATCTTGTTTTGTATTTGGATGGAAATCAGTTCATAGAGGTCTTCACTAGCACCAGAATAGACTGTTACAGTTGGGGAAAAGATTATAAATTGTAGACAAGCAGAATCGTCCATGACATTCCGATTTTCATTTTAGTAGTTTCATTATCATAGCCAGCCTAGCATTCATGACATCAGGACGTCTCGTAGGGTTCTGGCCGTAGGCAAAAGCTTTCTTGCAGAACGAAGATGTGGAGTAGAACAGGCTACTCGTAACAAGAAATCCGATTAGACTTAGAAAGTTTGAATGCCGTTGACTTGAAGTAAAAAATTTTCTATTGATGTCATCGACGCTTGCTTGAATGGGGTTGAGCAGCTATTCTTAGGCACTTGATGCTGAAGACGACTTTGATCTTCAAGAACTATTTTAACATATGACAGACTTGAGTCGAGCTGCTTCTTATATGCTGATACATGAACTGGACGCAGATGGTGGGTCCATGAGAAGGTTTTAGGTGTGGATTTTGTTGCAGGTCAGGTACTCAATACACCTTCAACGTATTGTTCGCTTTGTCTGGGAATTCTGTAACCTTTACTTTCACAGTTTTTGCTGAATGAAAAAATCGTACCAATATTACAAGTAACAGATCGATAGAAGCACTGTTCCTTGACGTAGACGACTGCAGCGTCAGATGGTTGCAGATGTAAACGAAGCAAGCCATAAAATCTGATTGCATCGCTTCTACAGCTCAGACATTTCTTTGCGATCTCAACTGATCCGTAAACGCGTTTGAATTCTCAGACTTGCTATATGAAGGATGCAGTGCTGCGGTCGGCATATCGAAATTTGAGCCAATTGCCAGTGAGATACGAGGTTATTCGAGTACATAAGGTAACGTTCAACTTTGTTCAGATACCAAGCAGACGTTGATGTAGAAGTCGTAATGTGGCGAATCTTTCCAATTATCTGGATATGTTCATTCTAGCAGACTTCCCTAAGGTAAGATTTATCCTGGCTCTTGATATGTAGCTAAATATGAGATTAAAAACCTAGTCTGCTTTGATAGGGAGATCGTTTTGCCACCTATATCTGTGGAATCTAATATCATTCCCAACGACGAGTTTTTTTATCTCTCAGAGATGGTAATTCATTTTCTCTGAAAACGCGATTGGAACAAACCTTCACAGACATATTTTGGGCCAGTATTGACGGTATTTGCAGATTCTTCCTAGTCTTCACTTGCATAATTGAGTTTGACGTAACATTTTTTTAAGATAACATATTAAGATTAAATCTGTGGAGACTCCAAGTCTGTCCAACATTGGTACAGGACAGGACACTAAGTCGAAACGCCGACAACGCCACATTTTCCTTTTTCCTTACTGAATTAGTCCCAACAAACCTGTGGTTTCTGTTTACATTCAATAACGACGAACCTGTGGGTGAGCTTCTCATCATTACTCTTTAAATTAAACGCCCTTTCTTTTTACCCCCATGTGGTTATGCTGATGCCTTTTGCGTCCACTACTTGCCTGTTCTGCCACAAACTCCAGCCATGGGAGAAAAATGTCATGCACACGAAGAAGTTATAAGAGGTGATGTGCTGACCTCTGCAAAGTACTGTATTCGTCTCTAGATTGAGAGCTATTTTCCTGCCTTTGTTACCACCTTCCTTAATCCCATCAAGCAAGTGGTTCCCACTCTACAATTGATCCAGTTGAAATTTTTTGAAGTAAAGAGACCCAATGTAACCTCGTCACTTGATAGATGAACGAGAGAAAGCCGCATGTAACTGATACGGTACAGTAAAGCTATTTTGAGATCTCAATTCTACGATCGTCTTGTTTGGAGGTGTATAGAAAGATTCCAAGTTGTACAATCTCGGACGAGCATAATCATAGTGAACACAATTAGTGGATGTACAAATGTTCTCCATTTTTGGATGTGGATGGTTTCTGTACATCACTGTGCGTGCAAGTAGGGCTTGTTATTTTCAAAGGTGATGTTGGTTGGCAAACTGACCTATAAGTAACCCTCTCCATAGTTGCATAAAGAGCAGACAAACTGGAATCATCTAGTACACCGAGGCTCATGAGCACATGACATGTGGAGGATACGCACACAAACTAAAAGTTGAGTGGCTCAAGGACTCGCCACAATCCAAGCACGACTGTCTGTTCAGTGAGTTGAAAGGGCTTCTTGCAAAAAGGCCCAGAGCATCAGAGGCCAGTCTCGAGGCCGACCTGCCGACCTGGACCAGTCATAAACGAAGGAAAACTGCAAATTTACTGTTAGTCTCCAGCGTATTATCTCGCTCAAATGTCACTGCACCTCCACGAGCTCGGTCTGTGACTAATCATTTGCGCATGTACAGTTTCAAATGGAGCCTAAGTACAACATCGACAAGACGTTTCTCAGCATCTGTTGCATGCATGACCTCCGCGAGTATGCACGTCCCGCATATGCCCGGTCTCCAGCCCTACTACGATTTCTTTGCCGAGTGTCCGTTCCGATTCGATACTGATGGCGCATGAAATTCTGGCCAGGTTCCTTGCGCATGGATTAGCTCTGATTAGCAGCGATGAGCCAAAGATGCGCCATACTTTGAACCAGATGATTCGATTCTAGTACTTAACAAGTAGCAATCCTTTTTTATGTTTGTACAGTTCTCTACATTTTCCAATTGCCGACATGATTTGCAGCAAGAGGAGTAGATTCAACAGGAGCCGTAGTTTATGATTGCAATTTGGCGTCGGCTTTTGTCTGGAAGTATCATCGTTTGAAAACCTTTTACTGAAACTAAGAATTTTAGCTGTACGAAAATCCCTACAGCTGTTGTGAGCTTTAAGGCACCGCGAGAGAGGCGGTTGCAAATAATAGTAGTTTGGATATCTCGTAGCATAATCAAGCCAATTGGGATGGGGCTGCGTTTACCCTCCTTACCCTCCTTCCAAACGACGATTTCAATTCACGCCATCGTCGTGAATTCAATGTCAGTACATGCTGCTGTGTAATTCTGATCACGCATCAGAAGTCCGAATCTCCAGTGAAGCAGATCTACGTCATCTGCCATGGTACATACTTAAGACTCGAATCCGAAATTATCCTCTTTAATTGTCCTCACCGTACAAACTATCCTCATACTTATCATCGTAATACGTAAACTTATCATGCTCCTGTTGTTTTTCGGTGCTGTATCACATACTTGCATATTGATACGATCGGATGCTTCCTACCCGTTGGGGTTCCTCCTTGTCCTGTTTGTTGGCTCTCAACGTTCTCTTTTATGTCCACATGGTCTTTCTGCCTTTTCCAGAAAGCGAGTAATTCAGCAAGGAGGGAATATTCCATCAAGTCAAGGTCTGTGGGGATGAAAGAGAAGGGATATGCTTGACAGAGAACTTGGAGCTTTATTACAAACTTGCTAGCTGTTATGGTTTTGATCCGGAGTCACGGACATGAGTTTAAATCTGTTTAATTACTTAGTTGGTCATGACTGCATCAAATCACCTGAGCGTTGGCTAGCCATTGAAACGATTTTGCTCGTTGCCATTCATCCTTATGAGAATTCATTATCTTATGTCCAGCACCTGGAGTGATTCAAGCGCGTAGGAGAACAAACCTGAAAAGCTAGCCAATCGTGTATAGAGCATGTACTAAAAGTGCTTTGAACTCAGTCTTCTGTAATGGACTGAAGTGCACTTTCAATCCTTGAAAGTGCACTTCGAAAAGTAGAAAACTAAATTATCTCACAATAATAGTTGGGCTCCTTACCTGTCAGTCTATTTTGGACACTTTCCTTCCCATGAAGTTCAAAAAGTCTCCAGACATGGTCCATCTTGCTAGCCATGCAATATGCATGTTTCTCTTCTTAAAACATATCCTCGTTGAGAAAACCATTCAAGTACTACACTTAAGTATGCAATCGTGGATGCTCGAACTCGGAGGATGGAAATTGTTATCCTGTGATTAAATCTGCGGGACCCATCTAAGTTTTGGGAGTAAAGTGAACGAAGAACGTGAAAAAGGAAGAGTGAGCAGAAACTAAAAAAATGTGAAAATTTGACACATGCATTCTTGAGGCCCGCGTACCCAGATCTCTTGTGCTGTCAATGCCATGATTTACATCATGTTTTTGCTGATGATGGTGACTCATGTTCGATCATTTCTGGCTGCTGGAATTGAATTTCCAGGTATCAGGCGAGATATGAAATTCGTCACTCTTATCATGCCCTTATTGGTGTGACATAACTTCCGCAGGAGCAATTTAAGTACGTTACACCCTTTCCGGTTACAACGCTCGAGAGACGAAGATGGTGGACTCAAAGAATGTTCATAGATATTTTCGGCCTCCGGCACCCATCAGTATTTTAATCCAAAATATCACTGCTTCGTGTTTTTCTTCTCATTCAAGATCTCACATAAAAACTTGGCCGCGACTTGCGTCAAGAAGAAGAGGTGTGAAAAAAGATTCTCCTCGGCCAGCACCGTGCACCAAATGAGACCAGATGCTGAGGAGATGAGGAGATGAAGATTCTTGAAAGCACCCAAAAGCTACAGTAGCTAAGGGGATGCGTGATGGATGCAGGTATTTCCAAAGCTCTTCCCTCATAATAACTGCTCTGCACACTAAGTCAATATAGTAGTTGTTGATTGGCTACCTACCCCAAGGCGCTTAGTTGGTTGAAGAATGGCGAATGTCAGATGAACCCATCAACACACTCGAGAGTGCTGAACATTTTTCCTACATGTGGAGACCCCCCAAGTGGCAGATGATTCAAAAGGTTCCACGTTACACAAGGCCTTTTGTCAGCGACGAACAGTCACAGGCTCAATCCAGTCAAAGAAAAAAATCGAATGGCCAATCTTAGCACGTTGGACTTTCATCAGGTTTAGACCGAAACAAGACTTGTTTCAGGGAGAATCAGACTGATACCGCTAGAGATGTCGGGCATTATCACCAGATGCGTTATAAAATCAGAGAATCAGGACGCTAAAAAGCTTGTACATGGAGGTCTGAAGTAGAAGAAGCATCTGGAGGAGAATAGTTTGATTCGGGCTTGGAGATCAGAAACAAATGTTTGCGTGTGATGATGAGGAGTGGAGGAAGTGGGCCCTGCGATCTCTTTTTCGAGAATAGGACATCTCAGAAGGACCGTCCATGAGATGGCCATAGACGAAGTGCATGAATTATATGTAGTACGGATCAGATTCCTCGTCACAAAGCGCACCAAAGTCACTGAATTCTGCACAAAGGTTGCCATAGTGGGCCGGCCTAACCTAAGGCCGAGGCTGAGGCCGATTCGTGGGATTCGTATTCTCTCTGTCCGGACGCGAACAGAAGCGAGAGAGAAAGTCTCGACTGCGTTCGCTTGTTTCTCGTCGACGGGGCTGCCATCTCGTTCCGGCTCGTGGCCCGAAACCTGGCAGATTTGCAGGAAAGAGTGTGGAAGCTAAGAAAGGCGACCTCGTCGGATGAGAGTGACGACTGCCATGTTTGTAGTTCGATTCAGTGCTCGACATCGCAAGATGGACGTAGTTGATTAGTGATCACGCTTCTCGCGGACAGTCTTCAGAATGGAGTCCGACACGGATTCTTCTTCTTCTTCTTCTGCTTCCCCCTCCTCCTCGTGCTCTCCATCTCCTAATCCTTTGATTTCTTCGCTCATGGTCGAGCTGCCCTGCAAGGTGAGATCTTGCGACGCTTTGCGCTTCTTGCATAGGATGACCACGGCTGGCTGGGGTTCAATAGAACGACTGTCAATCTCGTGCGATGCCGCAGTTCGATGCTTCCATCGTCAGTTAGCATGAGCACCATAGCTGGTTGTGGGTGGCCCTGTAGCGATTGCATAGCTATAGACATGGACAGCATGCTGAAATCGACTGACTGACACCATTTGCATCTCCTCAACCCGCAGAAAGAGATGGTTTTCATCCATGACCTGCACCGGCATGCATATGGTTTTGACTACAAGGCATGTCTAAGACATCTCCGTTACAACCGCGGATTCTCCCAACCCAGCAGACATTTATCACAATCGAGCAGAAATCTAGGCGGAGGACAGAAGCTGGAGATGGGCAAAGCTTCCGGCTCCAAGTCTGGAAAGTTCTAGACCACAAAGTAATTCTCAAGGGCCCTCCTTAGATCTATCGCTATCTCTATCTTACTACTTCTCGTGCTAGCTAGCTGGTCAACATCTCGTGGGTTTTGTAATCCTTTATACTTTCTGTATTATTAGAAGAAGCGGCGTTGATGAAGGACGACGTAGATCAGATACACTCGTGGATAGGGATTTGAACTAGGGACACAAGCTGTAGAGTAGAAGCAGAGTTTCAATGCGTAGGGAACCTCAATGTCTCAATGAAAGCTTGAACTTCACTTGGATTTCATTAGAAAGCTCAAAGTGAGAGATTTTTGCCCAGTTTACAGTCCAGTCGGCGGTGACAATCCCCGCAGGCCTGAAATGAAAGACGAGCGGAAGTGCCATGATTGTCATATGCTTCACTGTACACATGGACCGAAGCCAGGCACACGCCATGGCTTTGGACGACGAGGTCATGGAGAGTTGTCACTGTGGGATTGACACTGGATCAAAGTGGGTGGATCAATCCTCGACGGACCGTCGAGGAGGACAACAACTGCAGGGGCTTAAGTCTGTCTAGCTTCAGTATCGTTGTACTAGCAAGTGATCGAGTCGATAGTCTCGGCCAAAATTGCTCGTAGATTTTGGGTCTTGATTCTAAAGCATGATTGGGCACTCGTCTCCGAGTTAGAGCAGAGCAAAAGCACTCGTCTCCTCGAGGTGCACTAATCGAGAGGAGACTGTCGGAGCAGTCTCGGAGATTTGTGCACTCGAGGACCGAGACGAGCTTAGGTTTGACAGCAACAAATGACCTGAAATTTCAACGAGGACGTGTGTCCAAACTCGAGGGCGATGAGCGTACTCAAAAGGAGGAGGTTAGGAGTAGACACCAACGAAGTACGTGCTCGCGACGGCCGAGTCGAAGGGAGACCGGAGCATCCGTGAAGTAGTTCATATGGTCGATTCCCGACCTCGAGATTTTGATTTCCCCGAACGTTCGATATCTAGACATCGGTGATGTCTAGAACATCTCAAGTTCGGGGAAATCAAATCTCGAGGCTGGACAACGAGCAATCTTTCCTGGGGTCTGAGTGAATCCCCGTTCTTCTTCCTGGCCATGGATTTGCTACATCCCTCCCCCAGAGTGAGACCTGGGCGCGGTCGGGCCTTCTCGACGAGCGCTCATGATCGGATGATGCTCGGCGACGAGGTGCACATAGTGAGGAGGCTCGTGCTCCAGCCGACTTATGTAGCTTGCGGAGCCGGTCGAATTAGGCAGGCAGACGTCGTCCGCAGTTGTAAAGCCAGGCTCAGTGTCCCCAGGCCATGGCGCTCAATCCGTGGGTCGGCCGGAGCCATGGACGATCGATCCATCCATCCATCGCCGGGAGGGACGGATGGATGGATCCCAGAGTGAGAGAGAGAGAGGGAGAGAGAGACCTAGCTAGCACCCGTTCAGGATATGAAGACGAGCCCTTTTCTCTTTCCTCGCCCGCGATCCATCCATCCATCGATCGTGCCGACCACGGTTTAGGGCGGCCGAGTTCAGCGACGAAATGAACCGATCGATGCACGCAACCTCTGTCTTCACGATCATCATCCTTCCCACAGCGTCGTAGGTCGTGGTTCGTTTGACCGCTGGACACGCTTTGACCTCGGGTAAAATAAACCTGTCAAGTCAGCGGGTGCATAGACGCAGATTCAACAAGTTTCCGCCGCTGCCTTGGGTGGGCATGGGCATTGGATGCGATGCGATGCGATGCCGACTGCGCGCACGACCGCGCGCAGTTTGGATCGATCGCGATCAAAAAAAAAAAAAAACCTTCATCGTCGCAGCCAGCGATCCAACGTAAAGCAACGCACCTGCCAATTGGTCAAATCGCAAGCAACATCTGTTCACGGCCCCCGCCCCGCGCTCCTACCGCGCGCACACGCTTTATTTAGCACCGATCTCGAGTCCCCCTTGACCAAGTACATTAAAGACTATTAGCGGGGCCGCGGATCTTACGAGCCGTTGTCTTTTTTGGGGACGAGAGGCCAGCGCGAGAGCGGATCTGGATCTCGACGCGCGAGTGAAGTGAGAACTCGGAGAGAGCGGACTTGCGCCCAATCTCGTGTTCATGAATGAAGCATGGGGGGGGGGGGGGGGGGGGGGGGGAGGGCATTGTTAATTTCTTTTCCGTGGCCGGGTGTTTCGAGGGGGGTCATGGTCATGGTACGATGTGAGAGCACGTGGCCTTCGGACACTATTCTGAAGTTTCGAGATTCCTGAAATGCGCAGTGCGCCTCGACGTTGCATCACGTGCTCGTCGGGATCGATCATCCGTCGCTGCGGCTGCTGTCCGAAGAGACGAAACCGAAGAGGGATCCGCGCGCGCGCGCGCTCGTCACGGGTCGCTGGCTTCTGGCCACTGGCCGAAGGAGAAGAAAGGCCGCTCGTGTTACTTCTGCAAACCCCGGCCTTAAGCGCAGGCTTTAGCTAAGCATCCCCAATAATGCACTTTGATCCGAAAAAGATTCCGGCATCCGCTGCTGCTGCTGCTGTGTGCCAGCATTTCGCATAATTTAAGTTCATCGTGACGAAATTTGAGATCATTCTCGGCTAGATGTCTATCCTTCGGCCTCGTTGCCCACCGTGCTCAGATTCCGGACATGTATAAATGTAGCGCTCCGAGTTCGGGGTTTTGCCTGCTCCGACTGCGAGTGGGGGCCGCATGAGAGTGGCATGTGTGAGCGAGAGAGAGAGAGAGAGGGAGTGGGAGTGAGCGAGCGAGCTTTCCTTGCGCATGCATCATCTGCTGCTGCTGCTGCCATACAGCTTCCTTCCACACTTAGCTGCTGCCTTCTGCTCCGCCCGTTTGGCTCGTGCACCGCGTGATTGATTGCGCTCGCTGCAATCTTCTGCATGCTGCCTGCTTTCCTCGTGTGTGCCAGCACCCTCCAATCCCCATCTCCCCTCGGCACGCTTCTCATCGTTAGCGTGCCGAGATCCACTCTCGCAGAGCTCGGAGCTCGTAGACTGAATGAATCTGCGAGCACTCTTCCGTGGCTAGCGAACATTGTAAGATACTCCAGATTCTCTACCAGGATGAGGTCGATGATGCAGCTGGATCATTTTTGTTCCACCTGCGGCCTGGGTAGAGTATCTTGGGCTATCTTACTATGTTCTCTGATCACACGCTAAAAGCACTCGTGGCAGCTTTTCCCGACGCCTCGCATCGCGGGCGCTTTTCAGAATCTGCGAAGTTCGAAGAAGGCGCTCGCCACTCACTGCAGCCACAGCCTCTGCTGTCGATGATCGCTCATTTCCCTTTTCGATTTGGAGATGGTTTCGCTGTGCACCATGCTTTTAACGAGCTCGAGCATTTTTGATGGGACGCTAGAGATGGTCGGAGGTTGCCGAGAGCACTTCAGCTCCCGTCTCAGGCGCATGCGGCCCTTCGGTCGTCAGAAAAATATCGATTGGAGAATCGGAGATGGCACTCGAAGACAACCCGATTCTCTTCGGGACAAACTGATTTGGCCGAACCGTACTTAAAATCTGCATATCGTTCACATGGAATCACCGATCGCATTGGCTTCCATGAATCGTCGCCGAGAACATTTTCAGACCTTCCAAGGTTTTGTTTGGTAGAGCCTCGTGTGGAGATGGTCAGGGTTTCTGCACAGACGCAGATTTTGGAAGTGAGACCTTCACATTTAGGCCCAGACCTTCTGTTATCGGTTCTTCGTCAGCCGTTTTGAGATTTTGTCTTGTTTGACCCGAGTTGGCTGACAGTGTGCAGATCGTCGACATTGTCTGTAGTCCACCATGAAAAGGCACATCCCTTCGTTCGCACATTACAAAGCGATCGGAGGAACGCTTGTCATATCCACAGTCCAGCGAATCTCCCGAGGGCTCACAAGAATATAGGTCAAAGTACGCCTTTTACACCAATGGTGTCCAGCTCGTCAGTCCCACCTCGATTTGCTGGATGCCATATGTTGGAAGACGGAAATCTAGAAAATATTGTTCCTTGTGGAGAAGAATGACGAAATTTGAGGTACAGTGTCTTCTCAGATGGAGATAACAGCTCTACGTTCCATAACCTCATTGTAATGTCTTGAAGCGGAGCACACTGCAGTGTGAGATGTGCCACATGCACAGCTCCATGTCACAGTAGTAGCAGAATGGACTTTCTCTGAAGGCAGACAAGGCTACCGACAGCTGGTGTTCATGGTCTCTACCTAGACTGACTTACATCTGTCCTCTAAAGTCTCACATTTCAATGCCACGGGAAACGGGATGGTGCAATAAAAGTATTCCTGTCTCATACCAGACGACATTTGGATTCTTGAGAACTGAAACTCCATGAACTGGTCAAATTCCAGGAACTGTTTTTCATATGGTTTTTCTGCCAGCTGAACTCGATCCATGCGATTCGCCAATTACCACCACAGTGGAGAGAGTAGCTTGTTGCAGACTGTAATCCACAGCACCCTCTCGGTCAATTTAATACAGACTTGGTAACTTCCAGATCAACTAAGCAGTGAAAGATACGGGGTTCTTAGACTGATGTGTGCAATGGTTGTCCCCCCGTCTACCAGTAGTAGCTCCAGAAGACGTTCACGTTTTGGGGACTTTCAACGGGGCCATCTCCTTGTCTATATAAAGATCCTTGTGTCTAAACATAAAAACCGCACTTTCTTCGAGACAAACTTGTCACCTGTGCTTGTCTGTAGGATGTGGTATTCGCCTGAATTTGCGAGGAAAGTTTTCCCCGAAGAGGGGAGACCGAAACTCTGCTACCTCTTATTTAGAATAGGGGGGAGAGGAGTTTGATCGTCTATAGACCTTTGGAGCAGGTCAGCAGAAAGCACATCTCTCTTTGACTTCTAGAGAGTTCCGAGATCGAAATCGATGGATGCTGGGAATTATCTAAACCATACTTGTCTGGATGACAGTGTTTGTCAACGAATAATATCTGCCTCGGTACAAGCGCAAGACCCTGCTCGCTAGTCCCTCGACAGATGGTCCTCCACTACAAGGATTTTCAAATAATGTGCAGAACGATTGATGATTCTACACGAGAGAATCTTTGCTAGTGTCAAGCTGGGGCTGTGTATCAATCCTCTTTTCTGTACCACACCAGATCCCCAGAGGTCTACAGGAGGACGACGTTTCTTTCATAAACACTTCCCAGTACTTCTGAACGCTCTTACGGTCACCGCACTTGATGTGTCGAGGGGTTTCTTTTATGGCAAGTACTGCTTATGCCCAAACCAATGTACAGCCTAGTACTATGAGCACTATTCGTCATTAAGTTACACCAAGGCATGAAAGCGAGATCAAGCTTGTGGAAAGTGCTACGATACATGAGTCTGCATTATCACTCACTCTGAATGATACTCTCCTGCTCAAAGTTTCCTTTAGCAAGCCGGAGTGATCTTGCACGGAATCTTGGAGTTCTTCGAACGGCCTTCTCCTGCTTCACAAAGACAAAGGCCGTGCTATCTCATGATCTAGGTCCGTCTGTGCCTTGAGCCTTGGGCATTGGTGCTATCTGCCTAAGATCCTGTCTCCGAGTCGTGAGGATTCAGACTTGATTCTTGGTCAAGGTACATGCTTGTGCGCAGACAACTCACGTATCACAGATATTTTCAGCCATGTTCCATAACTCATAGTTTCTGGGATCTTTGCTGCTGACAAGGTCTCAGTGAGCTCGACTGTAGAGTACTGAGATTCCAGCATCCAAGCGAACAATCGGGGAAACTCAGCGAAATTTCACTCCAAATCGCTGACCAAAGTGAGTCTGAGTGCCGTATGTGTACTCAAATGAATCTAAGTAGACGCCTCACAGTCTGAAGATTCTTGGAGCTTGGGAAAATCGAAATCTAGACATTGGATTATATAAACTCTAAAAACTAGTCACACAACGAGCTGAACATCATACCAAAGTCTGCCAGGCATAAGTGGCTTCTACAGTTCAGCACGTCTCGACTTGGTCAGTGCTATGCTAGCTCGATTCACCGATGGAATGCAGGGTGTGCTTGAGCTCCTTCGATATTTTCAACCTCGATTCCAACACATCCCATTCGAAAGAGCTCACGAACAATACACTGCTCAGCGTGATAAGGATGAGGCTATGAGGCTGAGACCAAGTGTTACGAGATGATAAATGACATTTTGGTATTATTCGATTTTGCTCTTGTTTCACATTAGTGTATCTGAAACTTACTATACGACAGTAATTTGTTGTTGGTCATGAGTGCTGAGAACACGTCTAAGTTTCTAAGGAAAAATTGAGACCTTGCTTGGTACCGAAATCTCTCCAAATTTGGATGACCATGTGACCGGTGAAAAGATTCCGCTTTCGCTAGCTAGCAAGCTAGCTGTAAGCCCCACGCAGCTTTCGAAGCTCTTATCGCTCTCACTGGTACAGTACTAACAGTGCCAATGATGCCATAGAGGAAACATAGCTCAATTAGCCCAGACAAGAGGCAGCTAGAACAGCAATCATTGAGATCTGATCGATTAATCTGCGACAGATTTGACGTTAGCAACAAAATCTCATGCCACCATACGGTACAGTACTGCACTCAAGGCCAGCTGACAGTGGAACAGGTGCCGTGCAGGGCTCAGGCTTCACTCGAGTTCCCTTGTTGAGTTCAGTTTACTACTCCTTGTACTTCCTCAGGCCACTGACAGTCGCCAGAGGTTTAATTTACTTACAGCACAGCGTTGGACCATTTCCCTGTAGTCTCTGGTCTGTAATCTGTGCCTTGTAACTGGAAGAGCAGTTCATCATCAGTTAATTCCCCATAACGTACAGAAAGAACAACTTTGAACCGGTCCAACAAACGACTTGGACTTCTTATTTTACCGTGCACGATCTGATCCTCCGGTGAGTGATCTTCACTTGGGCGACAACACGCCGTGTATGGCCCATCCTACGTGTCACCAAACCAGGGAGGAAAAAAGCTACATCATACCTGCTCCCAGGCTTCCATTCAAATAAAATATACTTTTTCTATTTTCATCTGAATCAGCAGCCTGTACAGCATGGTGATAAACAGGGAAGGTGTAAACCACTCAAATGACTTCACGCTTATTGAGAATGTATTTTATTTTATACAGTATTGATTGTCCCTCTTTCCGAAATTGAGGACTAATATACCAGCTGTGATTACTTTGCAATCCAAGATCAACATTATGTCATATGTTCAACTATTTTACGAAGGCATAATGGAATATGACGCAATATCTGAGATCCGGGACAACCAGCAATGGGAAGTGAAAAGCTTTCAGGGGACAAAAATAAGGAGGGATCTTAACAAGGACATGCCAAAGTGCTAACTTGCAGTTCCTTCAAGGAAAGAAGGATATGATTAATGGCGCCGTATCATATAATAAGATGCAGACATGTGCTCAGGAGCTTGTAAAATAATCTGGGAGGGATGATGTTGAAACCTTGAAACAATGTCATTACAATATTTTTCATAACTTTTATAACATTTTCAAAGTACTTTCTTTATGTATATGAAGCAAAGTCGGTAGATTTACCTAATTTACCTATTGCTAAAGACTCAAACACTGTTTGCATAGAAATAAATAGAAGAGGCTTTATAAATTGTCCCTCTATGTTTTAAACTTGAAATGTGGTTTCTCATATGAAAATTTACCGCAGATATGAAAGTTACTTGCGCACATGTAACTAATTCTTATATTGCTTTAAGCCATAATGTCATCTGAGGCTGAACACTTATAACACTAAATACAAAATCAAACCAAAAGAAAGTCTAGATTATTTCAGGGTCTTCTTTAAACTGAGAAATTTAAGAAGTGGATTTCAACAAGCGCTTGAGCAAATAACATATCTTCACTGTGAGCAGTCAGTCCTCTCGTTGTAAGAGGTTGCATCACCAGGTCAGTGCACTTTGAGTGGCAGGAAATTTGTATAACCGGGTACTAGTTCTCTCTCTCAACTTTCACTGGATAGTAATATTGATTGTAAATAAAAACATGAAAGTTCAAAAGATAGGGTTTAAAGGTTTGTTACATAACCATATATCACTCGTAAAATGTTGAATAGTCACAGAATGAACGAGATGAGGTATGTCGTAAATGACAATCAAAATTACACAAAACCAAACATAAAACTGAATCTCTACTTCTGGTGAGCCCGAGTGGTCCATAT